AGGACCCTAAAATGAAGAAGCTGAATCCATTTAAAGATATGGCAGGAGGAGGAGGAGAAGGAGGAGAAGGAGGAGGAGAAGAAACATCAGAAAAAGCAATATGGTTTCACCACACCACTTCGTGCAACTTTCCAATGCAACTTAATGACAACACATTTCCTATGTATTACAGAACAACATGAACAACAAGAAGAACACTACATACCTGCTAAGAGGTTAAACTGCCTGGGATTCAGGATAGCTGGACAGATCAGTCTCAGGAAGATGAACCCACTGAAATTAAGGAAAGTACTTTTTTTTAGTTGGACAACATTTTCACATTGATATAATCTAAAAAAATACTCTCGGGGTAGTAAACACATGTTGCAGTTGGCTACAACTTACAGTGATGGCAAGCAAGCTTGTTGGTTTCTACGTCTTTGTAACTCCTCAATAATGCCATATCAATTGAATTTGTTGGTGCTCAGGTTCAGGTTCTGTTGATGTTCTATATTTTTACCTGACTATTGGCGTCTGTACTAACCTGACGACTCTGGTGCGCATGGTGGTGTCATCAGGCCATTTCTTCAGCACCTCTCTCTGCAGGCAGCCGAAGATGTACCTCAGAGTACTGGGATACAACAGATACATTAATGATAAACAGACAAGTACAGCAGAAATGTTTTAGTTCATACAATATGTATATAAGATTGTTCATACATTGAAAGGTGTTAATGTGTAGACCAACTTCTCAGATGGAGGGAAGTTGGAGCATTCATAGGTCATTTATTGTCAAATATGCTCTAACATAATCAGTCTGCAGAGATCTCAATTTTTTTAGCAAAAACATGTCATATCAGCAACACAGAGATGGCATATCAGTAACTTGGACAATGAACATGTAAATACTGTACATCTTGTCTGTCACAATCAGCTCTTTAGTGAGCTCACTTGCTGAGCTGGATTGAGGTCACTCTCTTTGTTAAATTTTCTAAACTTGAAGCTAAAACATAGCAAACACAGAGAAGGCATATCAGTACCTTGGACAGCTCTCAGTGGCTTTAAAGATGGCCTCCACCGCCTCTGTCAGGAAACTGAGCAGAGTCTCCAGGTTAGAGTTCACATCTGCACCCTTCTCCAGCTTGGTGGGATTCAGCTGCAGGAGACAAGGATGAAGACAACCATAAAAAGTTTTATCAGGTTAGTAAATCGCTGGATAACAAATTTTTTTACACACAACCAGTAATTGCCTGTAGACATTTTGGTGACCATCTGTCACCTTCCTCAGGGTAATACTGAATGGTTCTACTTAACACTACAGCTATGTGTTGCTGTTGCACTGTGAGGAATGTGGTCCCAAACATGACAGACTTGGTGCACCTGTGTTGCAGTGTGGAGTAGAACCAGTCAGTTTTGCCCTGAGGAAGGTGATGAAACATCTGTGTAGTAGTGACTGGGAAGGTTATAGACAGAGAGGACAACAGATGCACTCTCTACTGGCTGTATGGATCAGAAAATCATGAAGAGTGATGAGCAATACAGATTCAGTCACGTTTGGGGCTGCATTCTTCATTCTACAGCTGACACTTAGCCAGATGCTGCGGCGCCACATGCCTGGCGTGCTATGCCGAAGCAGCTACATAGAAGCTTGTGTGTTACCACAAAGGGCAGTGATACCAGCTATCCAGACACAGAAGCTGGTGTGTTACACAAAAGTCGATTATACCAGCTACACAGAAACAGATACCGATGCTGGTGTCTTACACTAAAGGGCAGTTATACATGTACCAAGTACACAGACACAGAAGCTGGTGTATTATGCCCAAGTGCAGTTTTGCAACTACACAGATACAGATACATTATGCAAGAATTGATGAATGCAGAATGAGGATACAACAACAGGAAGAGCATACAAGAACAGGAATAAGATACAACAAAAGGAAGAGGATATAACAGTAGGAAGGTACAGTGTGGCACCTACAGTGGTGTCTGGGTCTTTCACAGGTCGCACACAGCAGGTGAGAGAGGAGGGAGGGTGCTGGAGACAGAGAACAGAGAGAGTGAAAACTGTACAGATGAGGACAGAAGATGGCACTGGGAAGAACAGAAAGAGAAATACAAACAGAAGAAAAGAAAGAGACTGGCTGTATTGGCTTATGTGCTGTTGGTTTACGGAATACGGAATACCCCATGTTGTATTCTACATGTAACGTTATATGTATAACCTACAGGACGGGTCCCACATATTAGAGAGTTCAACACTTAACTTAGAGACCCCTTTTCTCTTGTTTTAAAACCATACCACTGCCTGGTTTCACAACACCCATGAAAGTGCACAGTATAGTTTAGCTTTCTTCAAATTGTTCTCAGCATGTTACTGTCAACCTTCATGTATGTTGTCTCCCTGTACAGCAGCAAATTTTGCATATACCCTGCAGGGTGGGGTCCCGTGTATTGGAGAGTTTAACACATAGACCCCCTTTTTTTAGTTTTAAAACTATACCACAACTCAAGACCCATGAAAGTGCACGGACCTCACAAGACTGTTTACTGTCTGCTATCTTGGTGATGACCTCCTTCACGGCCTGGTGCAGGAAGGGCACAGCTGTCATCTTCATGTACTGGTCCATCAGTGTGGAGGCCAGGGTGGTCGCACGGAACAGGGTCGCACTCTCGTCTGCACAGGGGGATGAACAAAAACAGTATGAGTTTGTATGATGAGTCAATGAGAATTGTTTTAAATAAGGTGTCACACGAATGAATCATAATTATGTCTTAAGCAAGGTGGAGGCCAGGGTGGTCGCAAGGAACAGGGTCGCACTCTCATCTGCACAGGGACACGAACAATGTGTGTAAATGATGAGTCACTAATAATGTCTCAAACAGTCTGGTATCTTGAGTATTACAGTCCTTGACACAGCAGTGTATCTTGTACATGTTAAGTATACTTTATCTATCAACAATTTTCAAGGAACATGAACTTCAAAACCTATGTATATCTCTTGTCTTGCCACCCTGCTTTCTTTGAAAAAAGACTGCTTGTCTAAGAAGACCAGATGGGTTCCTTAGGTGGTAATCTTAGACAAGTTTTGGGGGATGTTTACATTTTTGGATGTCATATGCAATAAAATCAATACCATCAAGAGAATTTAGTTTACTTCAAGAATTTGTGAAAAGATGTTACTAACCTTCGTTAGCAATCTCCTTTGTTGTGAGAGTTTGTAAGAGGACAGCCTCATTCTTCTCCTGCCTGAACACCCGCAGCAGAGCGCTGGCCAGGAGAGACCTGTCCCGCGCACACACCTTATCCAGTGCATAGATGGTGTGGAACTCTTTGGATACTATCAGCTGTAGGCAAGAAGCAAGAAATCAGCACTGCAGTGAACTAAATTATCAATACTACATGTACTTATTTCATGCAATTGTATACATCAAGGAACAACTATGGCAAAAACAGAAATAATAGAAAAGGACTATTTGTCAACTTTCACTCTGTTATGCTTTTTTGTGATATCAAATGTATATGTGAGCATACTACTGCCTGTTTGTAGATTCATAGGACTTCACGTAATAAACGAAAAGAAGCTTGCAAGCTGATTTGAGCTTCTTGTGAATAAACAAAGGTTTACATAAACAAACACTCTATGTTATAGATTTATTAGGATTCAAATTGCATATTCTGTATAATAAATACAATCATACACCTTTCTTTATTTTGTGTGACCCCTTTCTTTATTTGTCTGACCCTTACCTCCTCGTCATGAAAGAAAAGCACAAGGACAGCAGCCTACAGGCTGATTTGGGTCTGTTATAAATAAAGAAAGGTCCAAACAAACAAAACAGACTGATGAACCACCTGTTTGAGTCCTGCGTACTCCTCCAGTGGCAGCACCAGTTGTGACCGGTAGTGTGCCCGTATTCTGATGGACCCCATGTCTCCCTTGTAGGGGGACTCTGGGATGACCGGGTACCACTCATCCACGTACTGACCGTTGGGGAGCTTACTCAAAGGCACAAAGACGGAGGCTGCAGGAAGAGGGAGAGATGGGTGTGATGCTAGAATATGTTGTGCAGATCCAGCCTGTTTGTAAAGTCTGATGTTGTAAACAGTGTGCAAAAACCTTGTCCCTAGCATGTCGGCAGAACGTATCGCACCTGTGTGAAACCCGTAATGTATTGTGCATAGCACAGAATGCCTTGTTTAAGGTCATATTCATCTATTTAAGGATATCGCATCCTGTGTATAGTTTTCAAATATTGTGTGGGACAAGATATCATCATTCTGCAATGGGCAGAGTTCTAATGCAACATTGACCAATGAAAAATCCAATGAAAAATCTGGGTTTCGTGCAGATGCAGTACGTTCTGCTTATGTGCTGTCCACATCAACCCTTGTGACTCCATCTGACCTGTTTCTCACACCTTCTACCCGCAGTTTGGGGGAAGACAGGGGATATCTGACCAGGTAAGTCAGGATGGGTGGTGGGGAAAGGATGGGAGAAATAGCAGCAGAATTTTTTGGATTAATTGGGGCTACAATGTAGTTTATGGTTTACAACATGCACTGAAATTGAAATTCACGATGGAAACAATCTAGGTGCACTATTATTACATCGGAAATGCATTTTGCAGTGTCATTAATATCGCAGTGGAAAGCATACCGCAAAAATAAAAACACCCGCAAGTTTTTAGTTTTACATAGTAGAGTATACATTAACACATATGAATGGGTGAAAGCTGCTGTTTTGAGTGGTTGGGACAATGTTGGTTGGTGATCTGGACTGACCTCTGACACCTAGATTCTCTACGGCACTGGGAACCAAGATCACACTGGCCGCCACCAGTAACTGGTCTGGGGACGGGAGGGGACGGCGGTTAGTAGCTCAGGCTCAGGGGAGCAGACTCAAGCAGAGGACAGGCACTTAACGTGTAACATGTGGGTTGTGGTACACACTCATTCACCACCCATTTGAATATGGTGGAACAAATGAAAGGATGTACATGTATGTATGTGTGTGTGTGGGGGGGTGGATGGATGGATGGATGGATGGATGATGTATGTATGAGTGTATGTATTGCCATGATGGTAGAATGGATGGATGTATGGATCACTCAAACACTCCATGATATGCACTATCCCATTTGAATATGGTTGAACAAATGAAAGGATGGATGGATGAACAAATGAATGGATGGATGAATGAATGAATGAATGAATGAATGAATGAATGAATGAATGAATGAATGAATGAATGCATTGGGCAAGTTTTTGGATAGCTTTACCAAGTTGCACACAGTAGCTGCACAGAGTAGGTAGCTGACTGAAGCAGAGGAACATTCCACATGCCTTCCTCACTTAACAACCACTCACAATGTAAAACAGTGGTCATCACGGTGGTGATGATGGTATTTGACACACTGATATGTTTTGTTTTGTTATGTACATGTACATACCATTATATTGTTTTTATGTGTGTGTTTTTATGTGTGTGTTTGTATGTACATTGCTTCCCTGCCTGGAAAGCCGTGATCAGCCACTGAGGGAGATACCCTGCTTAAAGAAACACAAATAAGTAAATGGTAGAATGGATGAATGTGTAAGCAAATAAATAAATGCATGATAAATGAGTGAATGGATGGATGGATGGATGGAAGGATGGATGGATGGAAGGATGGATGGATGTAAGGGTGGATGAATGGATGGATCAGGCCTCGAAATTAACTTTTTTCACTATTGTCCCAGAATTGTCCCGAACATAGATTTCAATTGTCCCGAACTGAAGATGGACTGTCCCAGCCTGCTTTTCAGGAAATAAGTGGATGACAAAAATAAGAAAACAACAACTGAATTTGTACAACTTGAAGTCCACTTTATTAGTAAATGTAGGGAAATACATGATGATATCATGGGCATGGCACCGTCCCTGATATTTGGAATCCCTGATTGGTCAAATTTAAATGTTTGTCAGAGTATTATGTATTTATAGGCTGCCAGCAGTCTGCAGCAGGATGGATGGATCGCGTTCCCAAATGACGTGGATGGTCTTAGAATTTTCCAATTGCCCCAAAATTGTCCCGAAACGTAATTTGAATTGTCCCAAGCTGAAAATTTAGTGTCATTTGACACTGGGACAATGTTAATTTCGAGCCCTGATGGATGGGTGGATGGATGGATGGAATGGATGGATGGATGGAATAATGAATGATTGAGTGTGTTTATGAATGATTTTACAATGATAGACACAGTTTCAGAGTGAACACACAAGTAGTAGGATGCAAGCTCTCCTCCCCTTTGTTCCTTTCACAACAAGAAGAACGCAATAATTACTGTGTGGGAAAAACCCAACGTACCGACAACAGCATCTTTGGACCTTCTGGCTCGACTGCACAGCAGAAGTGTGAAGGACTCCACCTCTCTTGGGAGGTCCCTGGGGACAGAAGTAAACAAAATTATCTCACATTTGTTTTTTGCACAAAGTAAAGTCTAACGTCTATTAATATAATTCTGCCTAGTCTGTTTGTTACCCTGAAAAAAAATGCACCTAAACAGAGTATAATGTATAGTATAATGTGTTGTTCGTCCGTCAGCATAAGGAGGACCACTTTGTCGTCCATCTGAAGTATAATATATAGAAAATGCAGTCCTTCATATCTAAACTGTGCATACTTAGGAGCTGCACTAGAGATCTCTCGAACACAGATTGGCAACTCGAAAGTGACTCTCGTGGGGAGACACTAAGTACAGCTTACTTAGTTACTTACTTGGCTCCTGCTCGAACCAATCCAGAGAGCCTACTTAACAGCACTTTATCCTCCATGGCCCTTTCGTAGCTCATTGGTATCACAAAGTGCAGTTTATAATTGCCATAAAAAGTGAATGTGTGTCTAGAGGTCGCTGGCAATTTTATATGGTGTAGAGTAAATGTGCTCACTACAGAAAACATGTAAAACAGACTCCCTGTAGTTTCATTAAGTATGTTGTTGGGTAAGAAACATACATTAGCCATGTAACGAAAAAACTCATAAATGAGACCCTAAAGACAGTTTACCTGCTATTGAAAATAAACACTCGGACACAAATCTCTCATGCTAGAGGGGGTTACCCCTTAAAGGTGTGGTTGAGTGTTGATTTACCATTTATGCAAAATAAACAAACAAACAAGCTAACACTAAAACTTACTCAAACACAAACTCCTTGGACCAGAGGGGTTTGGGTCCCTCGCGCTGATCCCTACTTAAAGGTGGTTTACCATTATGCGAATCAAATAAACAAACAAGCAACCAACCTCCTCGGACCACAGAGGATTGGTTTAAAGCTGGTTTATCTTTCATGCTGCACAAACGAACACTTACTCGAACACGAACTCCTCGGACCAGAGCGGGTTGGGTCCCTCGCGCATCTGTGTCCTGGCGGCGTGGACGTCGTGCAGGGACAGCACGCAGTACGGATGAGGTAGGTGCTTCACGGGGAGGTTCCGCGCGTCCAGGACGTTCACGCTCAGGCTGCGCAGCTGCTTCACACGCTTGGCGTTCAGGGGAGACTGCTTGTTGCTGGGCTGGGTGGAGAACTGACGCATCGCCAGGATCCATTCCTGCAGGCACAAGTCATGGTACAATAAACTGGTGGATAATAATACAGACTCCACTCTGCAGCCATTGCTAAAGTACATGTACATGGACTATTCCAGCATTTACCACAATGAACTTAAAAAAGCAAATTTGAATACATAATGACTTGTGACAACCCCTTCATGCTATACATAGGGATATACATCAAAGACTTATAGATATCAGAAACTCCTCCAATGACTGTAAAAGTTCATACTTATGCCATACTAGCCACCCACTTTTGTGTTAGTTTATAGGTAGTAGATGGCATATTTTGTACACTGTACAACTGTTGTGCATTAAAGTTATCATTCTTATCTTTATATCAAAGGAATGACAAATTTAGGACTTGCAAATGGGATACCATCCAAAAATTAGGGGCACAGCTCCAATTTTGAGTACACAAACGTGCAGATGGATGAAGTAATTCCACCCTGTCCAGCCTCACCTTTGCCAGTTCTGCGGTGTCGGCACACAGGTAGGTTGTCGTGATGTCGTTCAGAGCTCGTACAACTGTCTGGAAGCAGTTTGGTCTGGATAGCAAAAAAACAAACTCAGACTTTCAGACAAAATTATCAATTTCCAAGTTACTGGCACAACTCAAGAAAGGATCCCTATTGACTTTCTATACACATATAATTTGGGTAGGGGAAACTTTCAATGGACATAGATTACATTGAATATAACTTTATTTGTACAATTAATGCGAAAATGATGACAGTTGCAAAATTCCACAGAGGTATGTGAAATTTTGTGAAAAATACCCACTCAATTACATGTAGCCTGATTAAATCGCTTTTGCCGGCCGCCAAACATCCAGCCGGGGGGAGGGGCCAGTAAAGCCGCAGACGGCAGAGTTCGCATTATACAGACTAAATTATATGTACTTTCATCCAAAAATCCAGGAGGGCATCCCTTGCCCCTATGGCAGAAACACTGTTATCAATGAAATATTATCAATAATATATGTGTATAACAGAAACATGAGGCGAGTGTAAAAGAACAGTGCCATACCTTCCAAACAGACTCTCGTGGACAGGGTAAATTGAAGCATAGTTCAAGTCAATCAGACCCTTTGGTTTTGTTCTCTGTGGTAAAGATACATTTGTTAGACTTGATCAGATAGAGCTACTGAAACTTGTCATTTGATTGGCTGAACATTGTCATTTGATGGGCATATTGTAACATATGTTACGCTCAGGAATTGGTATTGCTGGAATTGGTATAGTCTTGAAGTGCTTATGACACCAAAATTCAGTATTCTGATTATAATTATGTATTCAACAACATTTAAACCACACTATAAATAATATTATCAAAATAACATACATGCATTTGTGCCAAATATACTGTAACACCTTACTCCTGTTTTGTATGATTTTGTTGATTGAATAAACTGTGAAACTGTAACATAGCTCCATCAATAAACAAGAACAACAAGTGTCCCTGTGATTCTCTTTCAGTCCTAGTAATACTCATAGTGTCAATAAAATATCTAACAGATGCACTTTCTGTCTACATGTTTTTTCACTCACAAAGTGTAAATACTGTCAGGCACTAGCACTGAGGCACTCTTGAGCATTCGACATGCCTCACAAAAATGACAAAAATGAAAAAGCTTTACCAACCTTCTCATTCTCAAAGTAGTAGACATGCTGCTCAGTGCCGTTCAAAATGAAAAACAAATTCTTCCACTTTTTGCTACGATGACCTGAAAAGAATATACCAAATTACGACTTCATGTTATTCTTGATTAGCAAAAAACATATAGTTGATACATGCAAAATTTAACTCATTTTGAATGAGTTCTTAAGACTTGAGGGAAGTCAACTTAATTTTCAGATACTGTTCCAAGAAAACTGAAATACCAGCAGGCACATTTATTTCATGAATAAACAAAGACTCAATGAAACAAACAAACAAACAAACCAGTAGCAGAGTGCTTAGTGGCATCGGTGGCACAACGATTAGAGTATTGGACTTGGAACCAATAAGTCCCGGGTTCGGTACTCACCATTCCCTGACGTTATGCCCTTGGGAAAGGCACTTTACACAACTTCCCCACCTGTACGGTGGAGTGACATCCACCGAGCCTCTTAGGCTAATCTGTCAAAATTTGTGCCAAAAACACTACGGATTTGGTGTGCCAATGTGCCATCTAAATGACTTGTACATCATCTGCACAATTGCCACCAAGATCCGTAAAAAAAAGTGGTGTGCTTGCCTTTTTTGCTGAGGTACCCCTTCTTGACGATGGTGTCGCTGGGCTGTGTGATGATACAGGACCCTGTAGACCGCGCCCGCACGCTCTGGTAGATGTCCTCATCATTCAGCGAGTTCAGCCTGCTTCTCTGTGAGGGAGCCACAAAGGATGCTCATTTTTCTGAGATCTTCATGTGTCACTAACAATTGTATTAGCTAACAAGAAATCAGAGATTTCAGACTTCCAAGAAGCACTTTGGGAACTTTACTATCTTCAAACAAAATATACCTGCTGCATAATTCGTGAAGATGGGGACCATTGAAATTTTTTTGCAGTATTTTTTTTTCAATATTACAGGCATGGACAATCCTCGGATCAGGCTTTAACCGGGAAAATATGGTGCTGACACACAAAGAGGTACTTAGTGTACAGTTATGACATGTCAGGGAAAAAATGTGGAAAACCTTCTGGTCTTTAACCTACCTTGTTTGGGACAGGCTCCCCCAGTGTGTACCCTTCCACAATCTGCTCTGTCTTGTAGTGTTTAATGATGTCGTCAAGACTATATTGGATGAAAGGAAAACCAAAAATTATTACAGTAAACTACTTATTTTCAGACATACATTATCTTTTATCTAATCTGACTGAACATTACATTGTAACACTGTTCTCATAAGGGTTCCACCAGTGTGATGAATCTTAAATTTAAGTCATGTTTAAAAACTAATAAGAGCCACTGATTCAGATGTATCTCCATATACATGTACAGCTGAGTTCTGCCAGTATTACACTCCATCAACCCTTATGGTTATGGGATTAGGCTGCAGGGAGTCCTACAGGTCATCATATGATTACAAAAAAACAGTTTATGTTTAGGACTGAAAGACTGAGAAATCTTTTCTGTTTCAGGCAATAAGCCTCAGTAATCAAGATTTGTAAATAGTAGTCCACCTAGCCAACAATGCATATGGCTGCCAATCAATGTGAATGTGAATAAACAGTATAAGACCGTACGTTGCATAGTAGTGTCCGCCCATCTCGAACTGCTCGTGGTTCTGCCGCGTGATGCGGAATCGCTGGATCAGGTTGTTGCTGCGGAAGAACAGCGAGTAGTCCCCCGGGGAGGAGTCGCTGGGGCGGATCAGGAACGCCGAGTCCGGCGCATCTGGGAACAAAATAATCACTCCCGTGAATAGTTTCATCAGGTTGGTAAATTAACACATGGAAGACACTTGCAAGAAACAGAACACTCTGGAGACAGGAAGTTAAGAAGGGCTTACACCGGGGGGGAAGAAAAACAGAGGCTGGTATCAGAACTGAGACGCTCTAAGCGCAAAACCAAGAACAAGTACATGTTGTAGATGAAGAACTTTCATGGTCTTGCAAGACTGACAAAGACCCGGTTTACACGACGACAAAAACCTGGCGTACGATAATGGCGTACGCACGCGATCGTACGACAATTGCGTACGACCATTTTTTCCAGCGTGTAAACCGGCCCCACCTATCGTACGCACCTATCGTACGCAATTTGCGTACGCCACCTCGAAGGCAGGCGTACGATCGTGTACGATCGCCCAGCGGGGAGTCAGGATGCCTCCCCGCCTCGTGTAAACGCGACTGATCTTACGAACGGCGTTCGCAAGCACTTCCCTGTTGCAGGAGGTCAGGGGTCATATGCAAATTCCATTCTTCTTCCCGCGCCTGTGAAAACCCACGCCGTGTTACTGATCTTTACTCTGTTTTCTCTGATCCGTTTCGGTTTTCCTTTTGTTTTTTTATCGTATTTGATTTGTTTGTTGTTTTGCTGAGCCTGTTTGCTCGCGACTGCCGCAACTGACCATGGCAGAAGTGCGCAATAGCTCTAACTGTCACGTTCCCACACTGACCGATCGATCCCGCCTTGAGCTTGAATGATTGCAATGACTGCAAAACTTGCTGCCCGTTGGATCTCATGGTACCGCTCCCTGCGACGTCCAACCCTTCTTCTACGTAATGCCTGGCGACGCAAGTACATCCGCGAAAAGAAGAATAGCAACATCTGACGCATGAAGAACAGAAAAAGAGCCTGTTCTCCCGCCATTTTGAAAATAGCGCTATGTCAAAGCTCGCGGCGGGTCAAATGGGGTCACGATAGTGTGCAGCGCTGCGGGAGTCCCGGCGCTGTCCGTCCCGCTCCGTGTAAACCGAAACGGACGTACGATCGCGTGCGTACGCCATTATCGTACGCCAGGTTTTTGTCGTCGTGTAAACCGGGTCAAAATGCCTAAATCACTGAGTAAAGAGACACAACCAAGCACAGGTGTCACTGCAGTGCAATGTGAACCAGTCAGAACTGCCCTGAGAAAGGTGACAGACGGTCATCGAAATCTTGGCTGTGAATAAAACACCTGGTTGTCTCTTTACCTCTTTACTAAAAAAATCACTTCATTAAATTTCTCTATACAGTTCTAGCAATAGATAACAAGACTGCAACTTGAACCATTCTAAAAAATGAGATCATACCTGACAACAGCTCTGCCGCTTTCTCTTTTGTGATGGTGCCATGAAACCACCTGAAAAAATAACACCCATTCTATCACACAATGTCAAGTACAAATACAGTACGCAGAATCATGATTATGACTGCAGAATGCATCTACACAGATCTCCAAGTGACGTCCCCCCAGTATGTGCATACCTGGGGGTGCTGCACAAGAGATCTCTTTTACACACAGTTTTTCAAAGTGGCAGATATCTGAAAACCAGCAAATCAATGGGCCATATCTTTACAACCAAATCCTGCATCTTACCACAGCAGAGTGTGTTCCACATATTGCAGTGCCTGCAGCATATCTGCCAGTCTGTACGTACTGTGTGTGTGTGTGATCGCTCCCAGCAACACTAAAGCCTCCGAGGCACAGGAATGTGCTATTAGCTATGATTACTGCGCAATGGCAATCACTGATGTCATTTCTGCTGCGGAGAGAGGACTGTCACAGGAAATACGGCATTTGAGGACCATCTGCGTATCTTTGTAATTTCCTGCGCCTAATGACACTCCAGCGATGTGAGTGCAAGCACGGCAGACGAGGAAATGGGATTTGATATCGCCGATGCTCCCCATTTAATGTGATTAGGGGTTGACTGAAGGGTTGCCTAACCATGGTGTCTCCCATGTGAGGAACAAATTGATAATGGGTGAGGAAAACAGGACTGGCTTCTTGTGGCACTGGAAAGATCTGGATGCCACTTTGTTTTGCATTATGAATTTTTATTTATATTACTCTTTTTTATTATCATTTTATTCATGACACCAAAAAGCAAACCTTACAGAAGGGATAAGACTCCCTTCATAGCAAAACAAAAAGTTTGCGTACAAAATGGCAAATTACAACGGACACGAGAAACGACATATACATCCCTCATATACACTATAATACATTATACATTTCATTACATTACAGAAATGGAGAAGGCACACTGGGATGCAATACCTGAGTTGCTTTGGAGCACCAGCACTTCTTTGTGCCAAATGATGACTTTCATTCTTGATCAGAAGATGAATAATAGTCCTTATCATTATGAATAACACCATTAGTAATTTCTGTTAACTATGGCATTAAATTAATGAAAACAAATTGTGGAAGTACTCACTCCTTTCCTTCATGTGGATCAGCATAAAAATCCTAGGCCAGAAAAAAGCAAAAATTGTCAGTTCCAAGACAAATCCATTCTATGCACAAAACAAAACAAAGCAAGCAACTGGATAAATTCTCTGAAGTGTCAGACATTTCAGACGGCATCAACTGCCTTTCATCAGTGTTCTACCAGGATAAATCCATTCTTTCATTTCACATTAGTACTGGACGATTGAACAATATTTGAAAGTAAGAACATAGTCTGGAAAATATGAAGTTGTATCTATGAAAATGAACATTTCTAAACACAAACGAAGCAAGAATTCAGAAATGTCTTAAAAGAAAATTTGGAAATGATGAAGATGATGAATGGTTTATTAAAACATAAATTATTTGCAGCCAGAGGGCTGAATTGCTGATTCCGTACAATACAATCATTTACACAAAACTTGTACTAAAATAAACATAAAAATATTTGTATCATCATATTACAATAAAAGGTGGTAATAAACACTGAAACATTCATAAAAACTGGAGTTAACTACAATAATACAGCGATAATTATACAATAATTATAGCGATAATTTATCGTACCAGTTCCTCTACGAGGTCTCTGATGACTAGTCCGCTCTCATTGGTGCGTTGTGACGTGACCCACAGCCAGCCTCCGTCCATCGTGTTATGAACCATGAATACATCTCCCTTCTCAAAACTAACGCGGAATAAAAAAGTCGTTGTTCAGAGGAAATGAAAAGCATATATTTCGTCATCATGCCAGAAATATGTGTGATTACTCACATAGATTAGTCTTCTTTATCCCTCTTCTCAAGGATAAAACGATGCGAGCAAAAGAATACGTCATTTTGCCAAGGAAATCATTTCGGGAAAATCTCTTCATCTTGTGTGAGAAGTATGTTTAATGTTTACTAAGCAGAGTGATTCTTTTCGCTATTTCCTTGCCCACTCGTGGAAATATGCCAGATATGACGACATCAATACCGGTACATGTACATGCATATTGCATAATGTAACAGGGCTCAGAAAACCCAAACAAGTGCCTTCAGTTCTGTAGAACAATTTGGCACCAAAATTAATGATTTTTTGATGGTGCGCTTACAGAGAAGGGCTTATATTTGGCGCAAAAACTAGGTTACAAAAATAAGTTTCTGGGAGATAAGAAAATTGCCTATGTGTTCTACGAAATCTTTTCGTCACCTTCGGCTTCTCATCTCATCTCCCACTATTTATGCCAAAAATGTTCAAGCTGAAATGAAGTGAAAAATGAGTATGGAATAGATGGGAAGGGTCATCATGGAAGTAGTGATACTGGTATTGTGTTACAAAATATACGTTGAAGTGGAATTTTGCAAAACGTTGACTGACTGTGTATATAATTCATTGAGAGATAGTCTATTGGAAAATAAAACACTCCTCTTGACTTGAGTGCCTCCTTAAGGTAGTGACGTACCTGAGTTCGTCTGTGTCAGGCACTCGTGTGTAGGGTAGGATGGCACGTACTAGTCTCCGGCTCTGTACCGGCTGGAACCAGACAAACAACGCACTTAGGCCACACCAATTTAATTTCTTGGTTAACAGATTTTTCTAGAAAAATAATGGAGCGGGCGGGTGAATAAAAAATAAAAATAAAAACAGGCCTAGGCATCCTATTATGGCCCAAAATGGTACAATAGAAGCCATGAAGTCAACACACCAGGCTGGTTCAAAATTTAAACAATGAATTTTTAACTTTTAATGATCACCATTGCATTGAAAGATGGAATAACTGTAACAACTAGTATGAAAAGGACTGTTTTCAACTGTTCAGGGCAAAATATGAGCATTTTGCAATTGATTCTGAATTTTTATTTTTATCAGGAAAAAATGAAGCGGGCAAAATGAAGCAGGCAAATCCGTTAACCAAGAAATTAAATTGTTGTGGCCTCAGTCATCATCATCATAGCTTATCGCCGTGGCTCTCCAGTCAGTTCAGTGCAGTTTCATTACCCTCTCGGAGGCACTTAACGCACTTAGTGGAACTGTTCACTTCTCACAACATACATGTATGGATACTTTACAACACGGGCACGGTCAAATTCCAGATCTCACTTTAATTTGTAAAGAAATGACAAAAAAAATTGATATTTACTGTCACTTTAATCTTACACTGTACATAGAGTCCGTAACCTTCAAAAGCAAATTAAACGTAGTATGGCACTGATGATGATGGCTACATACTGTAAAGCTTGAAGTGTTTAAGGTCGTTTTGTACAATGTATGTGCAGAGTTTTCAATCACCTCTCCACTGCAAATTCGTGACGTTTCCATTTCCACTGTATTACAGAATATTGTATCAACCATGAACTCAAAACACCGAAGAACCTCCTTTCCCCCTCTACCACAAAGTTAAGTCACTGAGTTTATTGAGTTAAAACTCTCCTTTAGCTGCCCACCCAAGGATGGCAGCTATTCTTCCAGGAGAGAGTATACAGATAAACGTAACAATACATCAACATGTACATGTATACATCAACATACACAATATATACAAATATACATCAACAACATACACAATATATACAAATATACATCAACATACACAATATATACAAATATACATCAACATACACAATATGAGAAATGAGAAAATAGAAGATGTACGTTACCTCAGGCGGAGGCACAGGATACATGAGTTTCTCGTCCTTCAGGATGCAGGACCAGTTGGTGTAGTAACCGATCAGGTCAGACAGGGAGTCAAACTGGCGACCACCGATGTAGAAGTCTCCACACATGGCTATTATCCTACAGGGCAGGGGAGGAAAGAACAGACTTTCGTTGATTATGATTTGAAGTTATGTTTTCTTGTAAATTCCCTCAGTTCATGTTGAACTTCATATTATTCATTTATTTATGTATAACTTCCAGTTATATTGATTTCATTTACATCTTTTGTTATGTACTTTGTATAATCTATTATTCTTTTACTTATTGTACCCAGGTGTCCTTGAAGATTAAATAAAAATAAATATAGACTGTGACTTTGTGGACTTGTGGTTTTAAGGTTGTTGACTAAGAATCTGAAGGTTCTGGGTTCGAAACCATGGCTAGCGCTGGTCCTAGTAGCTATATTTTATGCCACCCCGGTGTTGTGCCCTTGGGAAAGTAACTTTATACCTATTTCCTCAGTGGACAGTGGTAAAAATGAACAACTAGCTACTGCATCTTTGGTAAGGGATGTCTTCTTGGACAGGATGTGTTTGGAGAGTCACACCTTCAGCACGTTAAACTTCAAAGATCCCACCACACTTACTGAAAAGTGTAGGGTTCCTTTCTGGTGGTTCAAATCTTACAGTCTGGTCTCAATCTCAATCTTGAAAAGGTGATTGTCAACTGTTATGTCAATCCTACCACAATGTGTGCTAAATCTAGATAAATGAATCAGACAACAAGTGTCCTAGGCTTGACCAGTGGAAGGACTGCTAGAAGCATCATGTAGTCAGGCTATACAGACACACATTAGCCAGGTTTTTATTATCTACCATCAGACATGCTCATGACAAGCACAGATGTAGCTACCAGTAATGTGATTAAATGTTTAACTTTAAGAATATGTTGGGCAATTTTGTTATAGCATTAGACCTCATCCCTGATCAGAGTTTCTGTTGACAGAGACTCCAATCAGGATCTATGCAGGTATTGTTGGTGATTCTACCAGATCAATCTCTACCTGATGTACAAATCATAATGGAAAATCAAGACACATACCTGAAGTGGTCGGGCCCCCTGACTCCAAAGTACGAGAGGACGTAGGAGCCGGGTTTGCGCTCGCTCTCCCTGATCAGGTAACCGCTGAGCTTCCCCGCACGACGTAACCTCTCCTCCGCTGACACACGCCCCAGTCTGCCATGGTACCAACTATAACAAATATACAGTAGATACATGTATAACAAATAAAGACAGTGGTCGAAATCCTTTTTATCAAAATGCAATATTGCAGAATGTCACAATATTGTTCTGCAATTTGGAAGTAATTTCCGCAAATATACATGTACACCATTAAGACCTGATTTAAACTCATATAAAATTGCATGTTGGCAAACATTTTACATGCACCTTGAAAAGTACATAGTACATAATTATTAGTTATATATCAATAAAGTCAGTAGTGAATACAAATCTCTTACTTAGACACAATACTATAATACCAATACAATTGAACACCCAAGCCTGTTTTTTTTTAGTCTGCAAAATTGCAGGTTGCTTAAATCTTCCTCAGCAATATTGAAAATGTCTCTGCAAAATGCAAAATGCAGACGGGTATTTTTAACACTGATAATGATGATAGCATGAAGGTTCATCTGAGTTGGTGAAATACATAATGCGAATTAAACTGTTCTCCCTAATAGTTATGATGATGATTATGATTATTATTGTTTGTTTGAACCATAAGGAGTGTAGACTATTTCTCATTGAGGTCATATGAGAAGAGGATAGGGTGAAACAAAATATGTAACATTAAAAATGATGATGATGATGATGATGATGATGGATGGATGGATGGATGGATGGATGGATGGATGGATGGATGGATGGATGGATGGATGGATGGATGGATGGATGGATGGATGGATGGACGGATGAATGAACGAACGAATGAATGAAGATAATTGTATATTTTTGCCCCAATGCACTAAGCTCTGGTCACTCTTTCATTAAAGCATACAAATATTCAAAATCAAAAAAACATATGTATATGTTTATGGACTTGTTTGGGGCTTCAATCTGGTAACCTATATCTCGTTATATTTCATCTGACCCTGACCTCTTACCTCATGGCCTCAATAAAAAGCAGAAATTGGGCCGATTCCAGTATTTCATGAATAAACATTGAGGGGCAAAACCATGTCAATATCCTCATAGGCAAGATACTGTATTGTTCTATGGTACCTTAATACTTCGATGAAGGTTAGACATCAAGGTAATGAGACAAGAAAACTGTTAGTGTTACTCAAGTACCTGGATAGGAATTTTCATATCCAGTTGCTTCAGTAACAGTTTTCTTGCATACAGTACTTAGTACTCTCCAAGCAGAGGTTTGGGCTTTGGGAGTATTTTTAGTGTGTTTTTAGGCTTTTTTTAGGCATTTTTTTCCCACCAAACTTAGTGCAAAAGAGAAACCCCGATAAAAAAGCCTAAAACACGCTAAAAATACCCCCAAAACCCAAACCTCTGCTTGGAGAGTAAGTACTTAGTACCTAACATAGGTACCAACTTGATCTCCAGCAGGCCCTGCCACCCGACACCCACCCACACACATCCATGTAGAAACACACCCCCGCAGTCTACCAACAGCCTGGCAGATTACCGCATACATCAATGCATGGAGGGGGCTACGCAGAATCGCTAATTCATAGGGAAAACCAGAGAAAATTTCCAATCTGGGGAGAGCAAAAATGTTTCTGGTACACTACTTTGCATACTGTGGATTCATTTACTTTCTTAGTGGCTTAATTTTGCGGAAGGAAGGAAAAGGAGGGTTTTTTGGGATTTAGAATTTGTGGTTGAAACATTTCTGTAGTAATACATATGATACACATATTCATGGCCATAAATTCAGGGTGGAGAGGTCACTGAAAATTAAAGCAAAACACTGCAACAGTTTCAACAAAATTCACAGTATCACAATTGTCATAATTTCTAGCTTAAAGCATTTTGCCAAAGTGCAACATTAATATTACAGGGTCAAGACTCATAGGCATCCTGGAAAAGCCTTTATTCAAATCTAGGCTTGACCTTAATTAAATTAAAAATGATGTAAATATGTCTTGGCCAAAATGTCTGAATGACTTTTTCCAACATAGTAGTAACAATAAGACACAAGCCTCTGTGAGTGGTAAAGGTGTATCCTGACCACAAAATCAAAACAACTAGATGACAAACAAGAGGTCAATGACCTGTGGGGACATTGTTTTGCAATCCAGGCCTCATGCCATCAGACTATTCCTTTATGTGAATGATACTAGTACCACACTGCCTTCAATATGGACGTACATTTTGTACAACGTATCAACATATTCCTCTACAGTTCTAGAAAATCTGTTAAAATCCCAATGTTTTATGGTGACCTCAATACCACAATTCAAACAAATTTTGAAGAGGTCAATGACCTATGGAATGGTCTGTGTACAAAAGAAAAGTATGGTACTAAAAAATAATCGGAATGTCTAAAATTCTGCAGAACCTACAGTTTTGTTTTTACACTATACTGTATAGGAAATAGCAAATATTCTTGGGGATGATTTAGTAATGCTGAATATATCCTGTATACACATGGTACTACCTCATCAGTTAACATAAGTCGCCATTATTAAAAAATACCAATACAAACACACAAACTTTGAAGAAGACACACATACTTACACACACGCATGCACACACACACACACTGACACATATATACACAAACTTTTAAAAGACACATGCAACTCACACACACACTCATGCACACACTTTCACACATATGCACACACACACACAAGCTTACACACTGTCACACACACACGTGTGCGCACACACACACACTCACACACACACAAGCATACACACTGTCACACACACACACACACAAGCACACGCTCCTGCATACACACAGTCACTTACTCACACTTATGCACGTACGCACATGCACATACAAGCAAACACACACACACGCGCAAACTCAAACACAGACAGACACTCAATCAAGCCAAAAACAATACTTCCTTCCCCTGTCGTGTGGTAGAAACACTCAACTGTCTGAATTTCAGGCTAGACAGTAGACACACTTCACGCCTATCTCAGACCCCCCGACTGACAACTCTTCTGTACAAATAACATCAGTCAATTTTGACCGTGTGGTTTCTGTATCCTCATATCAAGAATATCCTTTCAAAGACAGATATAAGTTAGGGCTCTTCAGGAAGAAAACTTTGCAGCCACTGCATGCAAGAGTTGTTGACAATAATATCTATTGTTATTGTTTTCCCTGCTTAATGTCTATTAATAGTATTATCTCGCTAGATATGGTTCCTATGTGCTGGGTTTTACTTAGTTCACTTTCTCAAGGTTTTTAACACTTGGTGAGTTGAGACTGCGTGTTGCTGAAAGTGTTTTAGTTGAGCACACGGAATCAATGTGTGCTCTCTTATTTTGTACCGAGAAAAGGTTCCGTAAAAATATATGTGTGTGTTGATATAAATTGTCTATGAGTTCTTCTCACATTTTAAGTGAAGATTTCAGAGTGTCTCTGCATTCTTCTGGTGTACCGTAAGTCTTGCATATCCTCTCCAACTCTTGCAGCACTTGATGTCTTTCACTGTTGTAGGGCTACCTCGCGTGATTTTACGTAGTGCGGCAAGACCCAAATATCTTCCACCACCACCCCCCACCCCCACTCCAAAAACAATTATATCAAACACCTACTCTGACTCCGGCGGTGCCACCAAGGCAGCGTCGATCTCTTCGTCTTCGCACTCCGCGTCCACTATCCCCTCGAAGGGGTAGTCTTCCTCGTGGAGAGACAGTTCCTGGACTTCTTCGCGTAGCTGAGAAGAAGAATCTCCAGCCGAATCTTCCGCCATCTTGGACACGCCCTTCCCTTGGAGGGGTCACAGGTCACGCAGGCCAGCTGGGTGGTGGGAAGTGAGCAGAGCACGGCTGCTTCAGAGCGCCGCCTTCCGGCTCAAGGAGAAAACTGCAGGTCGAAGACGTTCGCATTTTCTTGTGGCCGGAGGACCTGTCTGTTTTGAATGTCTCCAAATAAAAACATTTATTGGGTTACCTTTTTCATACATGAGTGAAGCGAAATGCGTGTGAAAAGGTCTGGGTGAAAATTGACAACCAAAGAGGGGATTTTCGTGGAGAATGTATTGAAAGGCAATATTGGGAGCGGTATGCAATAGCCTCTATCAGGCGTCGGAGGCGACTGGGAAGAGTAGAAATCGGCCAAATCGACCGATGACATGCCGGGAGAATTAATAGTCCGCTCAGTTTGCCGCTCTGAAATTCTTTGGCGCTAACTCCCCTGACGAGTTATCGGTCTTTCTGGCCAATTTCTACTCTTTCCAGCCACCTCTGAAGCCTGGTAGAGGCTACTACGTATACGGTGTGACCTGATCAAGATGGGAATCGAATCCCCAGCGCTGGGTCGGCGCAAGGAGGTTATAGGCAACAAAGACCCCTTTATGACTGCAGGCGTCACGCACACCTTTTCTCAATCAGGCCCAGTCGGTCTTTATGAACACAGCACTGCTCTCAGCGTGTCTCTTCCCCGGTAAAAATAAACCTCGGTTTGAAGTCCGGCCAACTCCTCTTCCAGAAGTTACCAGGGGCCGCAACAGTTGTTAGTGGTCGCACAACAGCTAGACTAAACACAATTATGAAGGGGAACAATGCCCGACTACAATGCGACTTTGGCACGGGCGCATGTCTGGGCGGCTGTGCCCGGACAAATAAACTTCGAGGCTGACTGACACGTCGACCGAATTAAGGTTTTTTGGACGGTGCTCAGAATTAGATCCACACTGTGCTTAAAGTTCACGCGACAAAGAACTATTGAAAGTCGAGAAGTTCAATCTTTTTCCTTTCCGGACCAGGCAACCTTCCAACACTCCGCTGTATCTCTCTCCCTGCTTATGTTCACTTTTGGTCCAAAGACACCCTGAAATGCCGATTACATGCCTCAATTCGTTAGTTTCTGGGGTTCGCTGGTTTGTGTCAGTGTCTGAATGTGATTTGGAGAAGCTGCCAAGACAATTTTTCAGTTTCAGATGAAGACCTAATTTACAATTACAAAGTCAGGGAGAAAGTACTGCAGTTTTCCATAGTGGTAAATGATAGAAAATTCATACTTGGGGTATTTGAAATCGAGTGAAGATAAATTAAATTATGCATTATCAATTAACATGGTACAATAGCCTCGTTTGCTGAAGATAAGACTTTATTTGGACAACTTGTGTTATTTAGCCGTAAAAGAACATTAACTGATGTTACTTATGCAAAGGACTTTGTTTGCACAGTCAATGAGGAAATTTTATATATAATACCCTAATAGGTGATGGCAATAGGTCGTGGATATCTAGTTTTAGACATTTTCAGGTCATCCCAAACTAGATACCCCCACCCCATGGTTGGCCAATGGTATTAAGGCCTCCTCATCAATACAATATATCAAATGGGCTTCTGATTGGCCAATCCCTTTGGGCTATATGGCAATATATGATTCGTTTACACAAGTGCTGATGAAAATATCAATGTTACTCTTTCTATATTTACACAGGTACAAAACAATTATTCCAGATTCTATGCTTTACTGACAGCTGACAGTTCTGATTCATTCCGATTATCATTTTACGCGAATATTTCGCAAACGATGTGAAACAAACCCGCGCTTTTGATGAACTTGTTGAATGTTTTGTACTGTGAACCCGTGACGCCGTGACCTGTGTGTGTGGGCGGTGATGTATAGCTGCGTCACATCGCTCCATGCCTTCACAGTTGGCAGTGAAGTTTCGCGCCAGACACCTTGCGATTTCTGAGGGTCACCGAACGCGGGAACAATTGACAGCATGATGGAGAGGATGGGGAGGGGGGTGATCTCCAAGCAGAGGTTTAGGCTTCGACTTGGCGACTCGGCGTGTTTTAGACGTTTTATCGGGCTTTCTATTGCTTTGTACTTGTATCTTTTTTCCCAAGCCTATAAATTTGGGGAGGCAACTGGCAACTCCAATGGATACTGCCTGGCCAATTCGATGCTGTCTTTTAGCCTCTACCAGGCTTCGGCAGACGGCATATCTGCTTAGGGAGGTACTGCCTGACAAGGGACACACCGTGGGACCGAATCTAGATGAGCGTGGATGCCAGACTGTTTTCAGGGCCTACACAGCCTAGCACGGATCCCAAACTGTTTTCAGGGCCTACACAGGCCATCTCGTGGCCAACATGCCCCCAAGAAAATTTGGCACAGTCCCTTAAATTCTCAGGGTCTAATTCAGGGAGGGGATGTCGCGGTAAACATGTCTTGAGGGCATGTTGGCCCTGGTGCAGAGGAACTGGCCTAGGCGCCAGTGTATACTATACGTACGCTGTGAAGCCGATCGAGGAGCAGCCTGTGTCAGCCCTAGCCAACAGCCCGGCGTCCAGGCTACGGGTGTTTGCACCGGTTGCGCGGTGTCAGTAGTGCAGATGTGAGAAGGGGGCTGCATGGCTCTGCTTAATTTTAATTGAATAGATTCAGAAAGTCAGCGGGTACGTAAAACGTTACTTCCAAGCAGGCTGGCTTCGCTTTACGCTGTTAAACTTCATATATACGTATATAAACGCACAGCTCTACATCAAATTTATGTTCTACACCAAATTTGAGAATTCCAGCCAGTGTACTACGAATCGCGTGGAATCATTATACGGCTGATAACGCTAGTGAAAGGGCATGCCGTTCCTCTTAGAAATTATATCAGACAGTATTATAGGGGGTATTTGTGAAGATGAAAGTCTCTTAACCCTTTCATGATAGCTGAAAGTCTGAACATTTCCATGATAGCTGGCTCGCTTACAGTCACAGTATTGACTATTGTTCAATAGTGGCGTTTCTCCCGACGACAGCGGAAGCTCTTGTGGTTTCTGAGCCCCGCGGGCTAGAAAGTAAAACCGCGCCTGTCTTTGTAAAACTACCGGACCCGCTGAAAGTCTGGCGGAAACATTCTCTGCTGAGCGAGCACGGAGTGACACCGACTGTTTCTAATAGCCTCCTGTGCAGGCCTCCGAGCGGGTGCGCGTAAAGCGTTTTGTAAAATTGTTTACGGCGTTCTTTTGCCGGCAATCCTGTAAACAACCGGTCATCCTGTGCCCAACCGGCCAACCTGTAACCAGGCAGTTGGGTTGGTTACAATTCTACAAAATCTGTATCTGTATCGGTATAGCGGGTATAACCGCCCTTCGGCGTAACACACCAGCTTCGCAGGCACGCGACTCGGCGGCAGCTAGCTATACCACACCGAACGGCTTGTTACAGTTAAACTCAATCTTTGCACATTTGATTGCAGAAGTTGTTTAAACTAGTGATGATGTCCCAACTGTAGTATTAAAACGCAGTATTAAAACGCGTACCCTCCCAAAGGCCTGCACAGGAGGCTAAACAGTCTGCACAGGAGGCTACTGACTGTTGTACTCGTTGCCACGAACCACCCTTGAAGCTAATCAGGACCGTAAGTACGATCCGCTCATGGTAGCCTGACCTCTCCGCTGACCCTGTCAGGGTGGTACGCAGCCTGTGGGGATCTCTTGTCCCACCGGTATTTTCCCTTGGGCACTGGACGTGTGTTTCTAGCCTGGAAATTCTAGAAATTGGTCAGATAGACAGAATACTTTATCATACATCTTTATTTGCAAAATCAAGGCTAGTTGCTTTTACAGAGTCAAATATGGTACAGTACAATAATAGGAAACAGACAACTAATGTCTGAAAAACTTCACTTCTACGGTACGCTTGCTCTTATGAGTTTCGACTGGTAGTATGCCATAGGAGGAAACAGCCTCTGGCATACTATTCAGTGTATATCAGTCAATTACTACTACTTTTTCAATAACTTGGGGAGCCTGGTAGAGGCTAGCGGAATTCTTCGACGTTTCTATATTTCACCTGATGGTTTTATGCTAGTCTAAAATCATGGTAGAATTCGGCAAAGTAGAGTCAGTAATTAGAGTGAGCCGCAATAAGGGTGAAATTTTCCTACGATGGAAAATTATATAACTAAGAGGTGGAAATGAGTACCTAGCTTCGGTTAGGGACGTCTTCTCAGATAGGATGTAAAATGGAGGTTCAGTGTTTGAGGGGAGCCCACCACACTTATCAAAAAGACTAGGGGTCTTTCCCGGTACGAGTGTGGTTCAAACCTTTCAGTCTGTCGGTGTTGACATCTTGAACATGTGATAGTCACCTGTTGTGTCAATCCTTCCACAATATGTGGTAAATCTCGACAAACAAATAGGAAGCTAACTCCTATTACTAATTATTAGTACATGTTGCCTTATTAGGCCCCGGAGGGATACGTGCACTCCACTACACTTGTCGAAAAGACTAGAGTAGAGGCCTTTCTCGTTATGAGTGGTTCCAAGGACCTCCTTGGTGGTTCAGCGTTGAAATCTTGAAAGGGTGATAGTCACCTGTTATGTCAATCCTTCCACAATTGCGGTATATCTCGACAAATAGGAAGCTAACTCCGATTTTCCTATTACTAATCATTAGTACACGTTGCCCCGAAGGGATACATACACCCCACTACACTTGTCGAAAAGACTACGTGTCAGATCGAGTGGCTCAAAAGTCTCGTCTCTTGAAAAAAAAAATGTGATAGACACCTGTTGTGTCAATTCTTCCACATCTCCACAAACAAATAGGAAGCTAACTCCGATAGTCCTATTATTAGTACTAGTAGTTGCCTTATCAGGCCCCGGAGGGATAGGTTCATACACATGCAGCTTTTTCTCGTTACTCGCCCAACAGACCGTGTCATTGGGAAATCCGCTACCGAAGTCAGCCCCAGAGAAAACCCAGACCATACGTCAGAGTTTACACTGCCTGAGTCCGCGATGATATCACTTTGATAGGTATTTAACACTTGTCAGGCTATTACAGGCCATTAGGCCATGTTAATTTGATTATATGGATGACATCCCCTGGGAACCTAAAAAAACTGATGCGAGCGTGCGAATGAAAAAAAAAAGTTGCCTTTATTATGAGATCTACGTGGTCATGAATGTTGAACAACGAAAACACACAGAGTATGTCTTTTTGGCAATTTACGATATCTATTTTTGCTCATTTTGCAGCTGCTTTCTACTATTTACAGTATGGTCGAACTCCCTGTCTTTCTCTCTCTCTCCCTCTCTCTCCCGTTCTCCCTCACTCCCCCCTCTCTCTCTTTCCCTCCCTCTCTCTCTTTCTCCCTCCCTCCCTCTCTCTCTTTCTCTCTTACTCTCCCTCACTCCCTCTCTCTCTTTCCCTCCCTCTCTCTCTCTCCCTCACTCCCTCTCTCTCTCTCCCTCTCTCTCTTTCCCTTCCCCCTCTCTCTCTTTCTCTCTATATCTCTCTTTCTTTCTTTTGGAAACGGACGAAAGTTCATGCGCGCGCGGATGTCATCCATAAAATCAACTCGGCACGGCCGTGAGTTGCAGCCGACGGAAGTTTGGTTCCGCCGCATCCCGGGTGAAATGTCGTCAGACAATGGGAAGGGCGCGGGTCTGGGACCGTACAGGCTGGAGACTGTGCCATGCTAATGGAGGAGTTTGCGATAGGAAACCCTGACCGACAAACCGTTTGCCAAAAGTTGCAGTTTTATTTGTTCTGCCCTGTTGCCTTGCCAGAGGAAACGATAATTCTGGTAAACTGTAAATGCATTTAGTTTTGCGTTGGTTTTATTTCGAGGTAGGAAGAAAAAGGAGGTTTTCGCAATGTTTTAATGCGCTTCGCAATGTTTTAAATTTGCGTTCAAAACTATTGTGTAGTACAGTAGTTCTACAAGTAAGGCATATTCGCTAAACTCCAAGCAGATTTCAAAATACAAATAGCCACCGGCCACTATCACGCCACCGGTAAATCTGTAGGAGATTACTAGTACATATACGTCATATTCGCTAGCCTTCTTCCCAGACTTCTGAGGCGGCGGCGGTAATTTTTTCGAGGAGCGACGCGAGCTATGCGGCGGAAGGACTGACATAATATTCGCGGTGTCAGTTCTCACGAATTCGCGGCGGTGGAGATCTAGGTCATATTCCAATAAAACCATCGCGAAAGTTTCTCCATCTACAGTACCCCAGCCGCTGTTCAGTTCCGTTGGTGAAGTTCCAAGATCTCTGCCGCGGTTTACAATTTCCCCGGTCAGGCCGGATTAGGCGCAGATCCCACGGTTGTCGATACCCTAGTCCCCTGTGACATCACTGATGTCACCTCCGAGGCACGCTCGGCTCAGAGATCTTGGCAATCACTGAAGGGTTTCTGTGGAATGCTATCTATATCGCTATAGGACTTGGCGTTATCTGAGGCTAAGAAGTTTGTATAATGGTTGTTTGTTGGCATAGTTCTGTCTCCGATTTATCCTTTAAACAGGCTCAGTTCTGTATTTTCCTAGAGGAATATTCGCCTACTTTTCTTGAATGTTAAGAATGAAATACATGTGTGTTAGTCAGCATTCGGAGGTTAAGAAGTTTGTATAATACTTTTTGTTGGCATAGTTCTGTCTCTAGAGCCAGAATCTTTGCTTAACGAGCTCTGCTCTGTATTTTCTTGAAAGAGAAGTCACCTACGTGATGAAATATGTGTCTTAGCCAACATTCGGGGGCTACGAAGTTTATATAATACTTGTTTGTTGGCATAGTTCTGTCTCTAGTGTCGTGATCTTTGCTTAACGAGCTGGAGTAACGATCTCAAATCTACATACTCCTAGAGGAGAAGTCACCTACTTTTCTCAAGTGTGAAATAGAAACCAAACAAATGTCTTTAAATAGTCAACATCAGTGGACGCTAAGAGGCTTGTATAATTGTTGTTTGTTGGCATAGTTCTGGCTCTAGAATCAGAATCTTTCCTTTACGAGCTCGGCTCTGTATTCTCCTAGAAGAGAAGCCGCCTACTTTTTTCTATTCAAATCCCTTTGTTTTTCTTAAGTGTGAAGGGTGAAATAGAAACCAAAAATATGTCTTAGTCAACATTCGGAGGCTAAGAGGTTTATATAATGATTGTTTTTGGCATAGTTCTGTCTCTAGAGTCAAGACCTTTTACGAGCTCGGCTCTGAATTCCCCTAGAGGATAATCGCCTACTTTTCTTGACTTGTCAAATGTGAAGGGTGAAATACATGTGTGTGTATTAGTCAGCATTCGGGGGATAAGAAGTTTATGAAATGGTTGTTTGATATTAGCATAGTTCCGTCTCTAGAGCCACGATCCTCATCTTAACGAGCTCGGCTCTGAATTCTCCTAGAGGAGAAGTCGCTTACTTTTCTTAAAGAGGTTATAGGGCGTATAACCTCCTTGTTTTTCTTAAGTGTGAAGGGTGAAATAGAAACCTAACAAATATGTCTTAGTCAGCATCTAGAGATGAATTCCAAGGCCTTAGCCACGGGCGCACGAATCTTGAATAACCCGTAAGTCAGGATAACCACCTAACCAAACAAAGGTGTCAGGCACGGGCGGGCGTGTCGTTCTGTCTAACGCCGTCTCCCGTGCCAGATTCACGGCCTAGTATAAGAAACGATGAAAACCACAGGATCAGGCTATCATGTAACTACTCTCCAAGCAGAGGTTTGAGTTTTAGCTTATTTTAGGCGTGTTTTTAGGCTTTTTATCGGGCTTTCTTTCATGCACTGGTCAGGCTGTTTTACGTCAACGTATCTTTTTTGCACTGGTATCTTTTTCACGGATTGGCTTAAAAAGATATCAGTGCAAAAAAAGAAAGCCCGATAAAAAAGCCTAAAACGCACCAATAATACGCCAAAGCCCAAACCTCTGCTTGGAGAGTACTAGTAATCACGTAACGTCTTGTTTTCCTCAGTCCCCCTCGAGTCGCGGAGTTGTGGAGGAATCCCGCGAGGCTTTTCAGGAGACATCGCCACATCGATCACGTTTGGTGTGACTCTGCCGTGTGAGGACCTTTAAACCTCCGTCCCATCCGTTCTGTGATCCGGAGCGTTTATTAAACAGCAGCATTAATGACGGAGTTTTTTGTTTGAAGTTGCGAAGGTGGCACGTTGTCATGCAAATTCCTGGAGGGATGAGAGTGAGAGTGGGTCGACAAAAGCGAGAGTGATTAGTGACCGTTCAGTAAGGGATTATCATTTTTCGTCTGTATATACCATGGAAGCCCAGCTGGCGAGACGAGGAAGCGTTTTGGGGATCTCTTCTCAGAGAAGTGGTGCGTAACAGAACGCCGTTTGTGTGTGTTGTGTGGTCTCCCGTATTAACGCTCCGTCCTTTATACTTTCGACGCTAGCTATAGCAGCCGTTCCCGGGTACCCGCGGTTCAAAAGCAACAAGTTTGGTATTTGGGCCAGCTGACAAATGTTACCGCGCGCCCGCGCTTGGCCGGGATTCAACTCTCGCCTTCAAGATCGCCGACAGGGAGCTGAAAGTAACCCGGTCGTCTGAATTTTCCTACCCAGAGGCGGCTGAGAACTTGACAGCAGCCAGTCAGAAGTCCCCCTGGTGAAGACCGCGTGAGGAGAGAAAAGAATGATTGTTGTGGATTGTTCCACACGAGTTTTACTACCAAAGGTGACTTCTAGAGAAGAGATTCGTCGTGGACAGAACTGATGCTATGCTCTCTCCGCGCCGTGAGACTCAGGAGGCCCTACCTGGCTGGTCACCAGACGCGACGTGCTTAGGCGGGAAGTTGGTCAGACGACGGGCTTTCTCGAGAGCGTCCGTACTATGATGAGACGAGCATGTAGGCGGCACGGGCTCGGACTGGTTTGCAAGGCGCTGAAGGCGCTGCTGGCCTCTGCTGCTCTGCTCCTGGTGTACACCTACGCCGCGGACTACAGGAAAGGCGCCGCGCCGCACCACCATGCGCGTCGGGTCAAATTCGCCGCCTTGCCCGTGGACGAGAGGTACATCAAGGAGCGCCTGGACCCCGAGCCGACGCGCGGGCTGGACTCGCGGGTACGTGCGGCCATGCAGCTCGCCTCGACCCGCCGGAGCCGCGATAGGAACGCGTCACCGGTCAGCAGGGGCGCGTGGTTGGCATACGCGTCCCCGCGAGCACAGAAGGCCAAGTTCGCGAGAGCCGCCAACTCGGGGGTCGGAGGACGGGCGGGAAACAATACGCGTCTGGACCGGGCGCGCTCGGGAGATTCGCAGTTCAGAGAGTCGCAAAGGGCGCGAGTACCGAAGCGCTGGTCTCTGCTACTGAACAATAGCAACAGGAACAACAACAATGCTGTCGGAAATAATCGAGAGAACGATAATGGGAATATAGGAGTACAACAAGCCACACCGGGGCCCCAGGCGCTGGGAGAACTGGGTCAGGGGGTGGTGCTGAGAAACCTGTCCCCGGAAGATCGCAGGCGGTTGGAGGAAGGTTACAAGAAGTACGCCTTCAACGAGTTCGCCAGCAGCAAGATAGCTCTCACCAGGACCATTCCAGACGGCAGGCACTGGCTGTGAGTACCGTGCACTACTAGAAATCTTTGTTGACACAATAAAAGTACAGCGATTTTCTAAGGGTCTTATAGAGTTACATAGTCATTACATACAATTGGATGCAAATGAACCAACATACAAGTGTATGGATGAATGAACGTATTGACGGCATGCATATGCATTGGCTTTGAGTATCGCCCACCACAAATCTTTATTGACACAACAAAAGTACAGCGACTTTCGTAAGGTCTTCTACAACTATACAAACAAACACGTGGATACAATGAACTAACAAGGATATGGATAAATCAACATGTAGAGTTTAACGTATCGTTTGCACAACATGCTCTAAGGTCTAAACATTCTTTGATGTAGTTTCCTATAATTTGTACACAGTAAAGGTTATCGACTAGAGTTTGACTGATTTTGCTTCTAGGATGGGGCGAAATAGATTCTTTTGAACAAGCGGAAAGAAATGTCAACAGCTTTGAGCCATGCTTCTGTTTTCGTTCTGATAGTATTTCCTTCCGTACTGAGAACCCAGCGAGGTTCCCATGTGAGAACAGGGTGACCTGTCAGGGCAGATAAACACTGACCTACATCTACAGAAGCTGGACGCGTGATTAGATACAATAGCAACGGGCAACGTTTTCATGGCGTCAACTTACACGGCAGTTTCCTCTCCTTATCAATATATCAATCAATATCAAATTATCAATTAACCAACCAACCAACCAACCAACTAACCATCCATCCATCCATCCATCCATCCATCCATCCATCCATCCATCCATCCATCCATCCAAACAATCAGTTAACTTTATTGGTTGACGTTTTAATATTTACAAATTTCAACAATCGAGATCTTGTGCTTCAACGTCATAGTTACTCTCCTCTTAACTTAAGGAAATTAGTGTCAAGAGGTCGAAGATGGAAACTTGTTTTTCTGAACCCCAGTATGAATCTCTCCCAGTCTCTCTCCCCCTTTCCCCCCTCTCTCTTCCTCTCTCTCTCCCTCCCTCTCTCCCCTCACTCCCCCTTTCCCTCTCTCTCTTCCTCTCTCTCTCCCTCCCTCCCTCTCTCCCTCTCTTTCTCTCACTCTCTCTCTCCCCTCTTTCTCTGTGTTAATGATTGCTAGTATTTAACTACAGACGTATTTAAATGATTATTGCTCTCCTCATACAGAATAATTGTCACATTTTATCATCGTGACATTTCAAGCAAAATATGTATCATGCCATCACTGTTATAATGTCCTGTTAGGGTAGTTAGGGTAATAATAGAACAGTGATATGTTAGTCTGTCGTTGTCTCGCGTGCAGAGCGACCTGAGTCTAAGTGTCGACAAGTGTCCGCAGCAATACACCAGACGCCTTTGTTTTATCAGGCCGTTCCCCACGTCCAGCGTTACGGCATAGCTGTCTGTATTTAGAAGCCTCCCCGATATCACTGCAAAAACAGCTGGCGGTGAAAGGGAAATATTTGCACAAAGAATTTTGATGATGCCTGAACCGTGACCGTGGTCTCAGTGTGAGCAGCACGCGAGTCTTACTGTGTTTCACGGCGCTCGGGCTGCCCGTCTGCCGCCTGACCCTGGATAAGCCCTCGCACCACCTCTCATACTTACAGAACGTACACATTGATCTGTGGACGGTTAAACAGTTTACTCAGGTTGCCTGTTGCTTCCCGGGGAATGAAAATACTGAGATAGAGCCGAGAAACACAGCTAGACTTACATTGTACACACACACCGTTTTTCCAACAGAGACATCGACCGCTGAGCGAACCAAACATTTGACTGATCACTCAATGAACTTCATACCATGAAATAAAATAAAATAAAGAACAATTTTAACGTCTTGCAGTATTGCATCGCATGCCTAAGGGTTACACAAATCCAATGTTGATCCCTGCACAGTCTGGTGTGCGCGGTGGTCGTGTGAAGATGAGAGTAGAAGTGCGCAAATAGGTCAATCATTTGCACAGATGTACGTACAATGTAGAGATGTGATCTGCATCGTTTGAAAAATAGATATATATCATGTGCGTTCCTGTAAGGATATACATCATACATAAATGACACTAGTGAAATTGTCATCATCTATTTTGTAATAGGCTATGACTTGCCCAAACTACTAGTGAAATTCATAATGTCCCACATTCTGTTTCTATTGTATGTATATAGCTATAGGCGTAACCGTAGTTGTAACATTAATGTAAGTGTATGGAAATCTAGTCTACAGACAGTCAGACAGACAGATAGACAGAAAGACCCGTACGACTTCGACATTGAATCCGGTACAGAATTATATGCAGACAGAGCGGTCTTCAACCCCCTGCTTGACTGTGAACTGAATGGAAAAAAAAAGTAATCTTTGATCCTTATTGCTGCAATTTTCCACGGCAATGCCTTTAACGTCACCCCGTGCCAAACAGTAACTGCATCACCGCACGTAAAACGGAGAATCCCGTCGTAAATAATCCCGAACGTGCCCCGATGCCGCGTCTGTGTCCCCTCCGCCGGCTGAATGAACATCGGGTGTAATGGGAAACATATCGGGCCGGGCCAAAAGGTGATTGGGGCACTAGGTGCCATCCGCCAGGGCAGGAGCGTGTTTGGTAACCTGACTCAGGGCACAGATACGTATCGACATCTTTACTACCGGCTAAGTATTCCTCAAGTGTTTGGCCAAGTGTTGAACTATCTACTGTATTCTTGGAATGTTAACGTCACCCACTAGTGACGGTGTGTGCAAAACATTACGTGAGCTGCTTGCTGCAGGGACGAGAAATCAGTGTACTGCAAATCTTGAAATGTTCGTGGAGGTTTTTATTTTACAAGTTTAAGCTGTAAGGACATTAGCAGTCCCTAGAGTGGTAATTATTTTCATAATGACCTCACTTTGTTTATTTTTGGTTGTTATGCACCTTTTTTTGGCGGGGGGGGGGTATCTTACATCGCCATCACAGGCCACACTAGGGCGTTGCACTGCCCTATACAATATGTCATGTTGCAAGGGGTTCTGTCTAGTATATGGCCTGAGAAGTAGAAGTGCCCTCTTCGCCACCAATTCACAAAACCGCGAAATTAATGTGTACAGCACTAAAAAATCGTTGGAGTTGCAGGTATCTGACTCCGTCTGTGACGTTGCAAAGTTAGCAGACCAAACAGGGCTAACTCGCGGGGGGGGGGGGGGGTCCGGAGGGTACTGGTGTTCTTAGGGTCATGTTGACCCTGGTGCTGACGAGCTGGTCTGTGTAGGTCCTGGTTCACAGTCTGGCATCACTCATGCTTTATTCTTGGCAACGTAAAACTACGTTTGCGAGTTTTACACTTCCCCAAAGCACCCCCAGGCTCCCAGGGTCCGGCCGCAAACCGGCGTGTCACCAGCTGAATCACTACTACCAGCTGCCGAGGAAAGAAATTACGACGTCGTAATCCGAAACAGAGTCTTTATTGACTTAGAGCGAATGTCTGCTCTAGGAATGCACCCAGGTAGATTTTCAGGCTTTTTTGTTCACACCTGTATGATATATCCCGTATTGTTGACTTTAAGGATGAAGGTATTACGGTAGATTACCATATTTCACATCGATCACGTTCCCTGGGCGCAGGCACGAACTTGAGCTTCCCACAACAGGCGCACACGTACACGTACTACCATCGCGATGTTCCGCAAATAACTTGACCTTCGCTTAACTCCTTATTGGCATGATGCAACCATGTTTGACAGGGAGCACATGTTTCCGGTTTGAGCCAGACTATCATCCACGGATCGTCTTCACAGTTCACGGGCGGAGAAGAACGCCTGCGTTTGAAAAGGGTGGCGACTTGGCAGCTCGCGTGAAAGAGAATATATCTCTTCATTTCGTCGCAGCGACGACCCCTCGAACCCGAACGCGCTGCTCATCTTCAGATGATTATTATTCTCATCTGGAGAGTAAACGGACACATTGTCTGCGTTTGAAGGGTGACGACTTGGCATATCATATTAAGAGCAATATATCTCTTAATTTTATCGCAACGATGGCCCTTTGAACCCGAACGTAACCCTCCTCAAATGATTATTTCTCCCATCTAACGTTACAAAGTAAACGAACACGTTGTCTGCGCTTGAAGGGTGACGACTTGGCAGATCATATTAAGAAGAATATATCTCTTAATTTTATCGCAGTGACGACCCTTTGAACCCGAACGTACTACGAGTTTGACTGACCTCAAAGATATGATTATTGTTACCATATGCAGAGTAAACGAACAGACTATGTGCATTTGAAGGGTTACGAGTTGACATATCATATTAAGAAGACTATATCTTTTAATTTTATTGCAGTGACGACCCTTTGAACCCGAACGTACTGCAAGTTGGACTGTACTCAAAGATGATTATTTTACAGAGCAAACGGACACATTGCGTATGGATGATGACGACTTGACATATCATATTAAGAGGAATATATCTCTTAATTTTATCGCAGTGACGACCCTTTGAACCCGAACGTACTGCAAGTTGGACTGTACTCAAAGATGATCATTTTACAGAGTAAACGGACACATTGCGTATGGATGATGACGACTTGACATATCATATTAAGAGGAATATATCTCTTAATGTTATCCTGACGACGACCCTTTGACCCAACCTTCACCCTAACGTTTCAGCCATGTCAGACTGAGAAAAACGCTGAGACTCCGCAGAACGGATAATCCTGGTGGTTTTCTGATCGTTACATTTTATTAATTTATGGGCCTTTTATCATATATATTGACAGGACTGCCTATTCCCCCAGCCACAAGGCTAGTACACAGACAATTAAAGAAACTCAGGTCTAACTGAAGGGTGTCTATTCTGACTCCATGGTAAGATTTCCTCCTTCGGGACATGTTGACCCTTGGAGCCAATAAGTTAGCCTGTATACTGGCCCTGGCAATAGTCTGGCACCGAGGCTAACACCCCCTCCCCCCGAATCTCGCTCATATTATAGAGGGAAACACACAAAACGGTGTGTGTGTGTTAGGGGGTGGGGGGTATGGAGGTGACGTAGAGATGCCTTAATAACATTGGGACGAAAACGTTGAACTTGATCCTGATGATGATGAACTTCTTAGGGTCTAACTATGGACTAGTCTGCGTACTTTGGCCCCGGGAACAGTCTTCTCAGGGTCTGACGGCCTGTGTGTGCAGTCGCGGGCAACTTGGCGACCCTGTGAACAGTCTGGCATCCAGGCTAAGGACACACACCCAACTAAAACGCCGAGAACGCCGAGGTGGTGTCTGAGTATCAATCATGTCGTCAGCGCGGACGGACGCCAGTCCCCGGGGAGGAATGTGTGGTTGTCGTTAGCAGGCGATCCGGCCTTCCTCCTGGCACACACGGACGCTTCCAGTCAGTCTGCCCGTTAGAAAAACTAAGCAGGCACGTTTTCGCGACGTTTCACCAAGATCAGCGCGCGTGAAGGCTTCCGCTGTCTCAGGAGAGATGCCGGAGACATTTCCTGGGCCCGCTCCAGCCAGAAGAGTGAAGGAACGGGCCGCCTATAGCGACAGTCTGGCATCTTATCAACACTACGAAGGGATATTTTGAATAAATAAAGTTCTTTATTCACAGCCATTTGATGACCGTCTGCGTCTGTCACCTTCTTTGCATCGTCAGGATTTCTACGTGTAGCTAGAACATTGCAATTGCTGTAAACCAATGATTAGCCAAGAATGTTATTGCAATGTCACAACCCAGGCTATTGTTTACGTTAGCACATTATAGAAAAATATTCATCAAATCACAGTGACTGGTTCACTGTGTACTGAAGCTAGGTGTTACTGGGATAATTTGTATCGTGCCCTCGCCTCTATACGTCATGAAGGATGAAGGCACCCTTTCCACCAGACGGCGATCGCTGAGCGACCGTAGAGCGACCAAAATTGAATCTGGGACGACCCGTGACTTCATGATTGAAATATGACACACAGAGACGATTTAAAAGACGGTAAAACAAACAAAACGCGAAAAAATCGTAATTTTGAACGAACTGTCAAATCTCTGTTCGTTAAGTTCATGGTCGCAGCCTCTGGTGAAAAGACAGTGTAAGTACTACCAAGGAGGTAAAAGCACTAGAACCTCATTGGTACTTCCATTACTTCCATCAAGTTAACAATTTACTTGCACGCAGTAAACTGATTCTGTGACCCATGTGTGTGCAGGCTTTTAGCCCAACATTTTTCTATGCCATGCGTTAAAGAAAACAACAACGTGCTCTCAGGAAAATGTATCTACGTACCACGGCGATGTATTTTCTTAGCTGACTTTCTTAGCTGTGTTCTGTGGGTGTAATGGTTAGGTGGTTAGATATACAATTTGACTTTGTCCTTGACCTGGAAAGAAAAACTTCGTCCAAATCGTTAATCAACTGTATAAAAAGGATGCTTTTCCGGACAGTATTTTTACAGCTTATATATTGCTTATATTTTACAGCTTATATGCATACATTTTATATTTTACATATATGTGTGTGAAACAACAACCATCTATGTTGTTTATTAGTCTGTATTGTAAATGTAATGCGATTTCCTGCACTTCTATCCTATTGAGCTTCCTATTTTGTTCGTGTTTCGAAATTTCTTCATCTTCCAATCACAAGTAGCAATAAAACGATAGGCGTTTAGGATTATAGCAGGGGGGGGGGCTAGATTTCGTCATTCCTCTCACACTTAGTTTTGTTTGTTATCCATTTATTCTTCGTTCCTCAACTTTGTGCAAATATGTAAATATGTATAACAAAACGTAACAAATAAAATAATTTCAAAAACAATAAAAGAACTCTCTTTACCCTGACAGCAATCGAAGCGTCTGAAACTCTGCTTTAGTCCAGTTAATTGATTAGATTAAGATATATAAGATTTGGACTGACGTCTCGATCGACTGAATGGAGTGCCTTCTTTATCTGTATCTTTATAGCCGGTATAATCGCTCTTCGGCGTACCACACCAGCTTCGCAGGGTCTATCTCTAGCTCTATATACACTGGCTTACTGATTTTTTTCTTCAACCTCCCACAGGTGCAAGAGCAAGGAGTATGACGTCAGTCGTCTGCCGGCCGTCAGCGTCATCATCTGTTTCCATAACGAGGCTTGGTCCACCCTGATGCGGACGGTCCACAGCGTGCTGACCACGACTCCGGCCGACCTGCTGACCGAGGTCATCATGGTGGACGACGACAGTCAGTATGGTAGGTGCGAATAAGATTTATCCGCCCGTCCCACTGTCAGGACCTTCCCATGACTTTGCTCCCGGTCACTCTCCAACCAAGGTCGGCACTAGGTAGTGTCCACCAGACTCCTTTGCAGGCTGAATAAATAGTAGAAAGAGGCCTAAAAAGGAGATTTAGTTGGCCAGAGGAGTTGGTCGGCCGGAGAGGGTCCATTTGCCTGCACGTGCAGCCTGCAAAGGAGTCTGTTGGAGACTAGGTATAGTGGGTTGGTCGTAGCCTGGAATCCACCCTATCATCATTTCAAGTTCTAGCTCCAGTGTGCTCCTTTGATCGCATCCAATCACGCAGAATATAGCTTCCCAGACTTTGATTTTTCAAAATTTATGGTAGACTGGCGCAGACGTTTGCAACCTCTTCGACCAACTCCCAGCCACAGATTACCTTGCTTACAGCCCATTGTTATCTTTCAAAGATATGTCACAGCTTTCTGCTATCTGAAATCCGTGTCTTGGCCTTTTAGTTGATATCATGTGATGGATACGCACAGGTTCGTATGACATTGAAAACTTGAACGACTTCCAAACAATAGTTTAAAACATTTGTCCGCTTGCGAAAATACTTTTTGACCACAAGCCAAATATAGCAACTTTATGTAAATCCCGTTTAATCCTCAACAAATCAAACTTTTAAACTGCACAACAATCGTACTACTAGTAAGTAAAACGTATGGCATCTCCTGCTAATATTGAAGAAACTTACAATATGAGGCTAGTCTACCTTACGCTAGACTAAGCAGTGTGGGATGAGAATGTGTTTAACAATAATTGGTTGAGGTTCTAGTCTTTACACATTTTAAAAAGATCGTCCTATATGTAGTAGATGTTATTTGTAACGTTTGATCTATCAAGATGACAGAGTAAAAGCTTTTTTTTTGTATCTCATTAGTCTCATAGGTCTCTTTTACTGTAAAGTTATTTTATGATTGTTAACCAGTACGCACCTTGTCTTTTAGCCTATGTTTGTATAATTGATTTTGATGAATTAGTAATAGTTTTAGTTAGACATAAGATTTGTATCATGCCCTAATTCAGCCAGATAAGGCTGCTGCAACGGTATGTCTGAGCACGTGTTGCAAATAAACCAGTCATCATCATCATCATCATCATCATCATAAACTGGATGTCTAACCTTCATCGACGTACCTTCCACAGCTCACCTGAAGACCCAGCTGACTGAGTACGTGTCGGGTCTGCCCAAGGTGAAGCTGATCCGGACCCAGAAGCGGGAGGGTCTGATCCGGGCCCGGCTGATGGGAGCGTCACACGCACGGGCAGACGTGCTGGTGTTCTTAGACTCTCACTGCGAGTGCAATATAGGTAGGACGGGCACTTCCCTACCCCATTTTAGACCAGAATAAAACCCGCTCACGTGGGTTCTTTAACGTGCTTGAGGTGTGTCTCTTCTCAAACACGGGGCCTCCATTTTAACGTCCCATCCGATAAGACGCCCCTAACCGAAGCTAGGTACTCGTTTTCACCTGAGTGAAGTGAGGAAAGTCGTGTTAAGTGCCTTTCCCTTAGGGTACAACGTCGGGGCGCATGTTCGGACTTGTTCGGGTACGAACCCTGGTCTCCCCGTTTCATAGTCCAGTGATCTACCACTACACCACACGACGCCACTTCTGATGATTCGTAATCTCCAAGCAGATCCTAGGGCGGCAAGGCAGTATCCATTGCCCTGAGGCCTGTACATGTACAGGACATAGGGCACTGCCCACCGTCTGATACTAGTTACTACCAATAGGTAGGAGAGCTTGGAGCTGAATGCTTTGTTGGGCGGGGAATAGTTCCCAAGACCTACTTTGAGCACTGGCGTACAATGAACAGGGTACGTGAGTCTACTATCCCAGTAAAGTTTCAGGCTTCGGCTTACTTTGGACTTTTTACTTTGGCGTTTTATCAGGTTTTCTTTTTTTTTGCACTGGGAAGCAAAACCACGGACACATCCTGGAATTAGTCCTACATTCTTCTTAAACAAAAACGAACAGATCTAGAATGAACTGACGTAGAATGTTCGTTTCAGGATGGTTGGAGCCTCTCTTGGACCGCATCGTACAAAACCGGAGTCACGTGGTCACGCCTGTCATCGATGTCATTGATTTCAAAACATTCGAATATCGCCATCTTGCAATCATACAGGTAACTTTGCAATAATTGCCGTATCAAAGAACGTAGATTTGCCTCAGGCACGGTCCTGGATATTTGTACTGTTAAACGCTCTTTTTGAAAGGCTGTCTGTATGGGATTACTTTGTATTTTGAAAGACAGCTCTCGCCAGACACAAGTTCAAACTCATCTTTGCAGCTTTGTTTATAAGTATTTATTGAAATACTATCAAGCAACCACCTGTTTGCACGTACAACAATGGGTGGACATTTGTTTGCATCCTCGGTTACATTCAATACTGACTTGCGCTCCTTTTGTTCTACCTTGCAGAGAGGAGGTTTCGACTGGAGACTCATCTTCCGGTGGGAGAAAATCCCCGCCAGTTACGAGAAGAGGAGAGGACTGTCCGTCGACCCGATATTGTAAGTAACGACTTCGTCCAGAGCAGATGTTTACTGCTTCCCACTTCCCAACTGTTTCTCTTGTCCTGGGGTAAGTCATTTAATACAGGTTTTCCCTAGAGCTATCGTAGAGTGGAACTGCCACCAAGTACAGTATACGTAGGGCCATCATCACTGCAACTCTTGCAGCTAGATGTGCAAAGGTTAGGTGTGACAGGTCGTTCGGTGTAATTCAGCCAGCTGCCGCCGGGCTGCGTGTCTGCGAAGCTGGTATGTTACGCCAAGGGGCGGTTATACCGGCAATGCAAATACATTTGATAGAAAGGCTAACGGAACACATATTCGCTGGTTACCGTTTTTCTAAAGCACCATAAGGAAGTTCATTTCACTTCTGTCCGTATTTGCCGCAGATCGCCCACCATGGCAGGCGGCCTGTTCGCCATCGACAAGCAGTACTTCCAGCACCTGGGCCTGTACGACACCGGCATGGAGATATGGGGAGGGGAGAACCTAGAACTGTCTTTCAGGGTAACATTTCGAGCTTCTCTTTGTCTTAATGAAAATTAAACCAACTCGAGGAATATATTCATCAGCTATCTGACTCAAGTGCTGTATAGACAAGTGTTTTTTTTCGCATGTGTGACCTCAACATTGGGGCAAAGTTCATTGGAAGTCGGTACCGCCCCCCGTCCCGGTTGAAAGATTGTTGGGGTGTTGGTGTGCCCTGATGTAGATTCTTTCACTCCTGTCACAATATAGTAGCCGGGGAGCGGATCTTGGGTAGCGGACGAAAGATAAGGCTGACACTCAGGCTAACAATACAGTGGATTAAGTGTCCAGAATATTGATCCCTTTCAGAGAGACGGTGAGGCCCGGAGACTCAATGTGAATGAGATTCGGTCGAAAATCAAATTCCTTGAGTTGGAGATTAGTTGCCAACTCAGATGAACTTTCTTGCTAACTTCGTTTGTTCTTGTTATCCTCAACTTAGGCGAAGCATGCCACTTTCCAATTAGCTAGTAGTGCAATGTGGCTTTGCTATTAAAGTAGGGCTAGTGTTTTAAGTTTCTAGTACCATGTATGTTGTAGAATATAGTATAATGTTAGAAGTAGATATAGTCTCACATACCACTGTATTTTCTTTCTATGTTGTTTGTAGCTGCAATTAGCCCTCGGGCATGTATTTGCAATAAACCTTCTTTAAAGAATCACAGTGTTTTTAGCCAAGCGCACCTACTAAGTGTGCTGGGTTCTTGTATGTGCCCACAGATCTGGCAGTGTGGCGGCACGCTGGAGATCATGCCGTGTTCTCGCGTGGGTCACGTGTTCCGCCAGCGCTTCCCGTACCAGACCAGCACGGAGGTCTCGACCCGGAACCTGATGAGGGTGGCGGAGGTTTGGATGGACCAATACAAGGAGTACTTCTACCAAATCAGACATATCAAAAAGGTATATTTCTATTAGCTAACGCACGCATACACACTTACGCACACACTGACGCGCACACACACACACACACACACACACACACACACACACACACACACACACACACACACACACACACACACACACACACACACAAACACACACACACACACACACGCGCACACACGTACAAACACACACACACACACACGCACACACACACACACACACACACACACACACACACACACACACACACACACACACACACACACACACACACACACACACACACACACATACGTACGCACGCACGCACGCACGCACGCACGCACACACGCGCGCGCACACACACACACACACACACACACACACACACACACACACACACACACACACACACACACACACACACACACACACACACACACACAATGACATAACTGGTGCAAAGGAATAATCAGAAAGACCGGCTGGAAAGGTACGCTGTCAGCAAAAGGCTTATGCTTAGGTAAAACATTCCTTTGCCCGTGGTGATAGTAACCAGGCTGGCTGGAACGTAGTGTATACGTAGCTGTTCACTGAATACGTGAACTTCTTCAACTTCTATCTTCCAATTTAACGGTTTCTGCAACTATTGAAATCGGTTCATCACCTCTGACACATTCTTGTGGGACACCTTTCACGGTATCCGTGTTGCCATGGTAACGCACTTGACCTTGTCCTTGTCTGTGTGTCGTCCTTACAGAAGTCCTTTGGTGACGTCACAGAGCGGCAGGAGTTGAGAAGGCGGTTGAAGTGCCGGGACTTCCACTGGTATCTCAACACCGTCTACCCGGAACTCAAGTTTCCAAAAGGACTCGGCGTCTTACAACAATGACAGAGCTGAACAGCAAAGTTCTTTCTATCACAACCATATATTTTTCAAGCCAACGTTTCGATAACCTTCTATCATCTTCATCAGGGCAATACTGACTGGTTTAGTGTCAGTGCACAGTAAACCAGTCAGTATTGCCCTGATGAAGATGACAGAAGGTTATCGAAACGTTGGCTTGAAAAATAAATGGTTGTGATAGAAAGAACTTTTCTATTCAGTCGTTTACCAACCTGATGAAATTATTTACGGGTGAATGACAGAGCTTTTATTAAATAAATGTGCTTCCCGATCGAGCTATTATATATTGAGATCGATAGAGACAATTCTGACGAGCGCTGCTATTGTGCAACATTTTTTTTTATGGGAGGAGACTGGATATATTATATGAGAGGGAGGACGCTTGTTCATCACTGGGGGAGTGTGCGACAACTAGTAGTATCTGCTTCTAGAGTCGATTGGGCGTCAGAAGGATGATCGGATGAGAAACAGCGATTTACCGGTTTCAAGGTGTGAAAGATGTGGGTTAGCTTGAGGAGCTTCAGTGAGTCCAGTCTACAAGTGGATGGATTCTTTGCTGTAGAGTCCTCTGGTACTCCGGACCCAGAATGATCCCGTACATCACAAAAAGGCGCCTAGAAGCGAATAAAAGGTCGGAACCGGTAAATCGTTGAGTCTCAGCCGTCATCCTTCTGGCGCCCGATCGACTTGTAGTACAAAGTAACTTCTGATAGAAAAATGTGCTATACACCAAAGACACGGCAGAGGGCGCTTTTGTCAGCATTCTGCAAGCTTCCGCCTAACCGTTAGCGCCGCTTGCGGGAAAGTATCACACCGCACACTTAGAACTACAGGATCAGTGACAACATCTCTGGATGGAGGCCAGGTTTTTAAGGAAAGGAAACTGGAAAAGGGATCGTTCAGTTGTCCCTTCCACACGTTCAACGTCAACGAATGTTTTGGTGATTAAAATGTTTAGATATTCATAGAATGAGTGATGTGACATGAGTGTTATCAATTACATGCTACAGATATTTGTAGTGCAGTCAAACCTATACAAGTGACCACCTCTTCACAAGGATTTTTATATCACACCCGGGCCGCGATAACGTTCGATAACGGGTTCCAGACCGGGCCGTACGTTACGGTACGGCCCGGTCGGGAACCCGTTATCGAACGCTTCTATGGCTTCCATAAAACGATTCGAACACGTTTTTCCCTAACCGCGTGTGCCCCTTTCGAAAATTCGAATACAGAATCCGGACGTTGGAACTGATGTTGTTGCATTTGAGGGTTTAGGGGCACCAACTTTTGGCTCATCTTGCATTGAAAGGCGCGTTTTCTTGGGTGGGTATGATATAAATAAAATACAACACGGTGTATTTCGCATCGCCCTCGGTCCCGGCCCTCCCGCGAGTCGGATCGCCCTCCGGCCTGCGGCCGTCGGGCGATCCGACCCGCGGTCGGGCCGATACCTCGGGCGATACGGAATACCCCGTGTTGTATATATAGAATACAATCGTTTTATGGAAGCCATGGAAGCGTTCGATAACGGGTTCCGGACCGGGCCGTACCGTAACGTACGGCCCGGTCTGGAACCCGTTATCGAACGTTATCGCGGCCCGGGTATGATATAATAACGTATATAACGTTATATACAGTCAAACCTGTACTAGTGACCACCTCTACATATTATAAAGGACCACCTGACCATTGATATACAGTCAAACCTGTGCCCACCTCTACATAAAGACTACCTGTCCAGTGTGACCACTTGTCAACACAGGCATTACGAAACCAGTCCACGGAGAGTCTTTTTAGTGACCACCTGATCACATAGATCAGATGTTCCCGGTCCCCTGAGTAATCTTCTTACACAGTTTCGACTGAAGTTTCCTCTTTGTCGGGAAAACAAAAGCCTGGATAAAATCAAAACATGTTTTTGTGGCGGCCTACTTTTCTTACAAGATGAAAGTGAGTTTCTTTCTAACGCCACGCAGCAACACCCTGTAGGCGGTACCGAGCTCTAATTTGAGCCCCGCTGCGACCATTAGCGGTCCCCGGTAGTCCCCGGCCCGGCACAGCGGGCGGAACCAGCAGCCCTGTGGACGTATTAGAGCTTCTCTCCGGTCCCTTATGAAGTGTATAAGGCATCATTAACAACTCACAGGTCTACTTAATCTACTGGTAGCTGCAAATTGGCCAGGCAGTATCCATTTGCCACCCGAAGCTGGCTAAAAAAAGATCAGGACAAGAAAGAAAAGGCCGATAAAAACAAGCTTACGTAAAAAAAATCTAAGCCCCTGCATGGAGAGTTCGGTCTACTTATTACCCTCCATGAAAATGGGGGTACTGTTTTTACTCCGTTTCATGTTTGGTCTGATATCTGAAGATCGGTGAGAAGGAACTGTACGATATTTGGCAGATTGATGGATGGGGCCTTGGAGATTGTGTAGGTTGACTTTGAGCCCCTGGTGATTGACCTTGGTACTGCAGTTTAATTTTTTTATTCTGTTGTTTTCGCGTTATGGACTGTTTGTGCGATATTAAGGTAGCATGTAGTTGTTATTACCATGGTTTAGTGGTTTAAATTTGGGTCCCCTAGCTGTTTGCGTTTGATATTTACAAAATGTTTAATGTTGGACTTTTTGTGTTGAATGTTTGGAAAATCTGGGGGATGGTTTGGTATGATTTTTGGTATGTGGGTAGTTGTTGAGTCTCTTTGTGTTTTGGAGTGCATTAGCAGGTTGTCGCATATTTTTATTGCTTAATTTAAAAGGATTTTCACTTTTTCACCCCTACTTCATAATAGGATGGTCTGTTTGACCCAAAAGTTGGGACAGAGTGTTTTTGTTTATACCTCCTGCCGGCAGGTCAGACCCAGGCAGCCCTATCTATTTTTACCCCTACACAGAGACTGCAGGAAAATAAATCTTGTTTGTCTGGTCTGCAGGTCATTTGCCTGTCTGGTCATTGACCTACATGTACAGGCAAATGTAGCCTGGGTACCATCCCCAGTAGTATATTCGCAAACTCTATAACAGTTATGGAGTTTGCGAATATACTACTGGGGATGGTACCCAGGCTAAGGCAAATGACCTGCTGGCCATCAAAGTAAACAAACCATGGTAACAAGACACTAAACGCCTGCACATGACAGCTTGATAAATACAAAGTGCCATCACAAATCATTCTGCTGATAAAAACAAAGTTTGACTCATAATATCTCTATTGAAATACACCAAAAGATTACAAAATAACAAGCTATTTCATGGAGGGATGATGTCTACGACTTCTCCTTGTTTATTTCTTACTTCCCTTAATGCTAGTTTGTTTGTTCGGTCCGTCAGGGCGGACACAACCTACAATCTTGTGGTCTGATTAGAGCTTTTTCTCCGGTCCTTAATGAGGCCTCATATCGGTTGTTTGCCATTCTTGACAGGTAGGGCAACGACCTATCGGACTAGCAAATCAACCTACTCTACTAAGCTTGCCGTTTACTCTTTTGAGCCGGGACCATCTGCTCAGAGATTACCGGTTTAAAAGCTATAGAAAGTAGTGAAACCTGAAACCCTCCTCCACCCTGGCTCAGTGTAGCTGTGTTTCTTTTACCGACTCAGAGTGAGGACATCACACGGATGCCCTCACGCCTTCTCATCCTCTTTTCATCCCACAGCTAGGAATTAAGTTAGGTTCCTGTCCATAAGACAGGGATCGCCACCATTGAGCGATCAAATTTCGGTTTTTGTGACCCTCGAGTTTATAATCGAAATATAGTGCACGATACAAAGGTAACGTTATGATTTGAAAGACAACAAGATTCCTGCTTTGTTCATTCACACAGCGGTCTGTCCAATGCTTTATCTCTCAGCGACCGGAATCCCACGTTGAAATGTGGTTCTGGCATCGTGCTACTAACTCTTCAAGGGCCGTACAAACTCCAAGCAGATTCCTTTCGGTGGCAAGACAGTATCCATTTGATAGCCAGAGGAGTTTGGCTAATGGATACTGTCTTGCCACCGAAAGGAATCTGCTGGAGATTAAGCCGTACAAATTTAAAACTCCTCTGGCCAATGATGCATACTGTCTTGCCACCGAAAAGGATCTGCTTGGAGATTACGTTTCGACTGATTTGCGGTGGCTAATGGTCACTGTTTGGTGAGTAGCGTAAAAGGATCTGCTTGGAGATTATCAAAACGTACAAAGGCTATTAACACCCAATTTGGCCCCAAATGAACTGTGCTTGTCAGCCACTTCGGTGGCATTGCAGCTGTAGGATCTGCTTGGAGATAAACTCTTCATTGGCCTTGCTTGAATGATCTGAAACATTGATCCATGGGATAAGGGTTCTTGACCTGAAAAAGTCGCTCAAGACATACATTAGCGTTTTATGCCATACGTCAAAGAATGCTTTATTAGTTGGTGGCGCCATGTTTCACAATTAAATCTGAAGCTGTTAGCGTCAGAATGAAGTGAGGAAGGTTCTATCATTAGTTCGTCACCTGCGTCTATTTGGGGAGATTACCGGTTCATATTGTAGGCGCCTTGTGTTCTAACGTAACCCCTGCATTCGTGGGTTAAACATAGCAACAGAAAACGTGCACAGGAAGACAGAATATGCTATTCTCTATCATGTACCAGACTGCCATGGGCTGCTGAAAAATAGAAATTGGCCAAACGGACTAATAACATGCAGAAGAGTAAGCTTCTGCCAAGGGAGTACACTTTACAATCCAAGTGGGCGCAAAGTGCACTGCTATGGACATCTCATTCCCCTGTCATGTTATTCAGTCCATTTGGCTATCTACCAGCATGTTGTTGTAGTCTTGTCTTTCTGACACGACGCACGGAAAGCTTCAGTAAGCCTGGTACTCTCCAAGCTCATTTTTGAGTGGCTCGACTTAACCTGACTCTTTTTAAGCGGCCGGTGTTCTAAAAGTAACAGTTGCCGCCCCAGGGGTAGCAGAGAGAGCTTGCGTGAACGCACAATTCTTGAGGCATTTTTATTGGGTTTTATCTTGGAGAGTCAACACATGCCTCCAAAGCCCCGAGCGCTTCAGTGAGCTTCCATAGAGGCAGCGATCAAAAATTTTACACATTGGTGTCAAGGGAAAATGGGACCTTAAAGGTTCACAGTGATTTGTTTGAAGTCATCTGTATAATGTAATAACGCACTCACGTTTCATAACATGTTTACAAGCGTAGCGAACATCGACCCTTTGACATTAACACATCACGACTCCCAATCTGTTCAGTGGCAATTTCCCGCGCTACATGAAGAAGTCATTAAAGCTGATACACGTGTAGACTGTCAAAGTCATTCACCCAAAGCTTAATTCGTTTACAGGAAGTCGCAGGAGTGACTCTTCCAATTTTCCAACCTGATAATTCTCTTCTAAGCAATCAACAATCGTGGAATAAAAAAATGTCACGGCGGATGTTTCATCTAAAATCATCTTCATCAAATAACTTATAGCACTGCTTTGGTAGAAGCCATTAATTGCTGAAACAATACAGGCAGACATATCAGCTCAGACAGACTGAATCAGTCAGTATTCTTCAGAGGCATTAATGAATTGCCATCTATTGATGCACAAGATGTGCATCGAGCCGCGCATCTCAGTTTGATACCAATTATCAAAGACATCCGTTGTCGAAAACGTGTCAAGTCTCAGTCTTGCCTCGTGTGGAGCATAATGGTGAAGCGAAGTCATGGCTTTCCGAGTATTAGGCCTTTTATTTCTTATCTTAAAAGATAGTGTGAATCAAATCGATGATCATACATTGACGTCTCTTCAGCGTTATTGCTTGAATAAGTGCACAACTGATAAAGTTTCAAACGCGCTAACTTCACATACAGCACAACAAAAGGAAGGATACATCTCACGTATATTCACATTCCTCTGACCAGTACACTGCACACGCTGTAGACTCATTGATATGGAAAAATGCCCCAAACAAGCTGTGGCAGTTATATAATAACGATTACAATTATGGTTGTCTCAGACAACTCATATACCTTACATTCAAACACCTGCACAAGTTAGAACCATTGCACGTAAATCCACGCAAACAAATTACGAGGACTAATGCCCGATTAAAAACATCCAATGCAATTTCAGGGCAGCAAAACCAAACAAAACATTTTGGATGAGAAAATCTGTCTGATATTGACATTTACTGCCATTTTTTAGCACATTTTCGTCATCATTTCATACTTGAATCCTTCGAAATGGCCCCAAAACAAGCTAGGCGAAGAGTCTCTTTATTATTGTATACCGCCAATAAATAAATAGAACTAGCATGCAATACAAAACAACTTTTTCCTCACAGATATCAGTATGCTAAGGGATAGAATTAATGCAACTTACCATATTAAAAGAAAGAACAGAAAATCGAATTCCAGTTTTTGGAAGTTAAAAATCCTTTTATGCTGCCCTGAAATTGCATTTGATTTTAAATACAGTATCAATATATCATGCCGAATTTATTTATCCATTTATTATGTACAAAGAACTCGAAGGCCACCTTGACTTCCTTCCAGTAGGCACAAATGCTCATCAGAGGGTAAACTTCTCAAATGTGCATTCTTGGCTAGTTATAGTCGATATCCTGATCGAACAATTATTTATAGATATGTACAAATTGCAGATATGTTTAGAGGAAAGTAGAGGTACTGGTACATATATACACTGTCACTGACAGTAACGTATGATTTTTAATGAAAATGAAGTCACCATTTTCTCATTTGATCCATGTCGTCTGGGTCCAAATGAATAGCAGGGTGACAGGAGGGCAAAAGGCAGTTTGTAAAGTGTAAAGAGTATTTTTCTTGGTACATGATGGTATTTTGAAGCTAGATTTTTTCTATAGTTTTTTTTTTCATTATTATTGTTGACAAAACATCTTTGGGCTGTCCGGCATGCTCCAGAAGTTTGGATGTGGTTATTTCTTGGAATGAGGGGTCAAAGGTTACTCCTTTACATTATGATGCTATCGCGGCACAACATGCACGTCAAGAAATTCAGGTAGGTGACTTTTGACAACTTCTTTATCATATCATTTCCTTGATTAAGTATATAAAGATTAAGATAGGAGCTCCTATGACCGCCCCGCGCCCTCACTAGCAACAGCCGTGGGTCCCCCGGCTACTGGAACCCGAGGCAGTGTAGTACCGGCTCTCGTTTGAAGTGGTGTGTTCCGTCTTGTTGTGGTGGTTCTCGCTCTTGTTGATCTCGGTCATGGGGATGTCCTCCCCCTCCCCCTTCTTGTCTTCGATCTGCTTCCGCGGGCTCAGCCGCGTGGTTCTGGTGGTGGAGTGACCTCCTCTGCCGAACACCAGGAAACCTCGCCGGAAACTGCCGCGGAATCTGGGGAGAAAGACAGCGTTTCGTCAGCTGTCTTTTTTTTTTGATCATGGAATGTCTTTTTATCATGGAATTTAATTACCAACACAGATGGGCTTACATGCTGTCTTTTCAATCAAAATATCAAAAGAGCTATCGTGTTCTCAAAGGTGATACGAAATGTCTCACAAAGTATAACCGAACTCATGCACTAGACTGGAAACAAAGTCAGCACATGCATTACACGTGAATGATCGGAATCAATTTTCTTGGACTTTTCATGCACTGGAGCAAGGAGTGGTTGGAATGACTGATACGATGATACAACAACAACTGATGATGTCACCAGATTTTACCGGAACACACAATAGCCACGTCGACAATAAGAAACATGGAATTTAGTCACAAGTAACGCTCATTCAACAAAAGCAAATGGCTTGATATAATGAATACGTTTAAAAAAATTTACAAACATAACAATAGTGAACACATAGCCAAGTACTCACGTTAAGACGTCCCTACAGAAGCGTCTTGCTTGAACCGCTTCTCTCATTGACGAGCTAGGTATCCAGGAATGAGAAAAATACTTCCAGTGAAGAAGCGTTTTCCTTAGTTTAATATATCGAAGTACTTTTCAGGATATTATCAACAAGTCTTTTCTTTAAGAACAATGCTGCAAACTCCTTTAAAAGATGTAGATAAAATTTGATGGCCGTCCGGATTACACGTCAAACGATCAATCAGAGAAGCAATTAATTTTTTTTCAAACGTATCACACGGACAGACACTCGACCGTCCACATGCCTAGCCTGGTTCCCGTCAAACCTATTTCAGCTGCCGAGTCTCTTTTGTTCTCTCGGCAAGTAGCTCTGGTATTGGCTAATTTGCGGGGAGGACAGAAGAGAGGCTCGGCAGCTAGAGTAGGTTTGGTAACCGGGCTGGACAAGAGAGACTCGGCAACTAAAACAGGTTTGGTAGCCAGGCTACCACATGCTACCACACACACATATCAGTCTCCACCAGACTCTTTTGCATGCCGAATAAATAGTAGAAATTGGCCTAAAAGGGGGATATAATTGGCCAGAGGAGTCGGCTGGCCAGAATCGTTATTAATAAAGCACATAAAGAGAGTCCATTTGCCTGCACTTTCTGGCCGCCCAACTCCTCTGGCCAATTACATCCCCTTTTTAGGCCAATTTCTACTATTTATTCAGTCTGCAAAAGCGTCCGGAGGAGTCTACACACACGGGCACGGTTCCTACCTCTTACCGACGATGACGTAGATGAATGGGTTGATACAGGAGTTGGCGTAGCTGAAGGTCACGGCCACGATCTTCAGCCACATGGTGGCCTGCGTCATGGGGAAGTCGGGCACGAACACGATGGACAGGTTCAGCACGTGGATCGGCAGCCAGCACAGCGCGAACAGCAGCGACAGCAGGGCGATCATCTGGAGAGAGAGAGAGAGAAATAATAGAAAACCTTTAGTTAATGAACTAGAGAAGTAACATTTGCAAAGCAAATGCATAATGTTTACCTTCGGACATGGTCTGCTCTGTTAATTCTTACTCAAACACATTCAAATACATTGTACTACTATCATATGGCGACAGGAGCAGAGCAGACCATGAAATTGTAAGTGTAACCCAACACCAGTCACTATGGTGACAGATGTCAACAAATCATGTAATTGGTCAGGTCATAGGTCACTGCTTGGAGGAGAAGAAGAGGAAGAAACGGAGCAAAAACAATGTTTTCCTTCGGTATAATACATAATTAAAACGAACATGCCCCGGTGTGCCATGGTCTACATACTGCTATCTGGAAGTTAGTGATTCACTACAGCTCAACCGGATGGATTCCTGGCAAACCCCCGTCTCGCACTAGCCACACGGTGATTTACATCATCACCCTTGCACACTCCAGGAAGAAAAGTGTGAAAGCAGTAATGCAGAGCAAACAAAGAAGCAAAACCATCCTGGATTGATGCGTCTACAAACTTTTCACAAAAAGCTGTACGAAGAATCAACTGAAAATACTAGTGTAACGTTTGATTAAATGCAAACATAATAAAAAAAACAAAGAATTTATCGAGACCGGACACCCCTCTGTGCGAGGGGTTAGCTTCGTGGACGAGACCGACAATACCTGACACACGCCAAACTCAGCGGTCGCGACCACTTTCACGCTCAAAGGGACGTTCTGGGGCCCACCAAAAGGCACCATTTTCACGCCCGAAAACACAATAAAAACAAAAAAAAACGTGCATCATCTGCAGCCCAATAGCAAAACATATACCGACCACCCAAATGCGAGAAACAGCTGCGAACATGAAAATCTAAATCTCTCACAAAACCCTTCCGCGGAAGGATGTCTCCTTCCCCGGAGGTAAAAAATCGCGTATAGATGAAATTGAGACATTCTTCCGCCACTAACCTGAGTGACCTTTCGATTCCGCTTGACCAGCTGACTGTTGGGTGGGTCCTCTGACGTCATCGGACGTCCGGTCTTGGTCAGTTGGACGGCAATCAGGACGAAGGAAACCAGGCTGACCAACAGGGGCACCACGTAACTACAGAGATTGATTCGGCAGAGAGAAAAGATTTTAAATAGTTCTCACAAACGATGCCCACTCTCTCATAAATTAAAGCAGGGTATTAAGTACGGTAGGGTAAGGTGTAATTAAAGTAAAAAGGATCTACATGTCTACAAACAAAGTTGAGTAACTACAGATATTCGATAGAGAGAAAAGGGAAGATTTTCACAAACAATGCGTACTCTCTAATCATGTATAATCAAAGCAGGGTATTACACACGGTAAGGTGTAATTAGATATACGGGTTTAACGAAGTTGAGTTACTTTAGGTGTCTTTCTACATCACCACACCACAACGACCCTGAAGTGCTTTGATTGTCTTTTTACATTCGCCTCAATTGCGAGTGATTGTCAACGGGCAAATTGCCAAAAACGAGCAGATTTAGGAAGAATATTCACGCGGTTTCTGGTCTATTCATCAACAGCCCACAGGGATCTACCAGATGCCAGAAGCGAGGCTCATCAAGAAGAATGTGTCTTAGTAATTTGCAAACTCCGTCATGTAGTTCGTTAATTGCTGCGTGTTGTGTATTCCTTTGTGTAGAAAGAACGATGTTGAAGGATCGTGTACCTGATCAGGACGGTGTAGATCATGTAGGCTCGCTCCCAGGTCTTGGACGGCCACATCTCCATGCAGTAGTAGTGAGTCCCGAAATAGTACCACTCCACCACCTCACGATACACAGCAACGGGCAGCGACAGCAGTAGAGAACCTTTCAGGATAAAACGGAAAAACATCTTTTGAAACGGAAAAATAGTTGGTATCTTCATCCTTTTGATACGGAAAAGATGCTTAGTTACAAAACGTCTTTTGAAACGGAATATGTGCTTGGTTAACTCCTTTCGATACGGAAAAGATGCTTGGAAAACTCCGTTTAAAACGGAAAAGATTCTTAGTTAGAAAACTTCTTATGAAATGGAAAAGATGCTTAGTTAGAAAACGTCTTCTGAAACAGAAAAGATGATTGGTTAGAAAAATTCTTTTGAAACGGAAACATTTTCGTCTTTTGTTGCTTGACTCGCAATTACTGTACATAAAAGTCTTATTTGGTGACTGTGGGCTCTTTTACGTGACAGGTTTTACATTTGAGGCTGATCGACGCGTGAAACTCTCAACACACTCATCGAGAAGCTTAAGTGTGACCCGGTGTGATTTGCTAAAATATCTGACCCGTAGCGAGGCCGCAGTCAGCTCTTCATGCTACTTGAAAAGGAACCACGCTTCGCCTCAATCGACGATGACTACTTCACCTTACTTTACCTTAACCGTCACTGTTTCAAAATGATGGCGGGTCCACAGCTTCTTGTCAAAATGCACCATGGCAAGATGGTCCCTAGAAGCCTTATACCCATTCCTGCTCTATTACAGTATTTGGAACTACACTATCATTTGGAACTCCACTATCATTTGGAACTACAGTATCATTTGGAACCACACTATTATTAGGAACTACACCATTATTTGAAACTACACTATATATATATATATCTATATCTATTATTTGGGACCATCTAGCTGTTATGTTCGCAGGCGTGCGTGTGGCTGGTATCGGGGTGAGACACCTGTTGAAAGGGCTGCCCGGATTAGAAGCAACCCACGCTCTGTTCTGTGGAGTGAAATTAGTCTCCTGGGGTCAATTAGAAAGACTTTCTACCTTAACTCTTCGGCACGTGGAAAGACGGATCGCTCCACTACAACGGTCAAAAACTTTTCTTCACAAGTTATCTTTGGTCTGACGCAGGCATGTTTCCAGAAACCGTGAACTGATGACTTTTTCTGCAGTGGAGTTCATCGATTTTAGTCAGAATTCTACGGATGTGAAGAAAACTACGATGTTCAGATGTTCAAGGCATTCTTGAGAAGGCATTCGATAATACTTTTGCTTAATTGGGTGGTCTTAGGGTACTCGGCGGAATTACGAAAGTTCTATCAAAAGTTCCATCTGCTGCTGTCCATTGGAAACAACCAAAGTGGTTGTCTGTACGTATGAATGAATGGATTAATGAATGAATGATTTGTGCCCATCAAAGAATCATGGAATAGCAGCCGACATGGACTGAAGTGAGTATGATTTACAACGCATCAAATTTGATACAAGTTGACAACGCATCAAATGGTCATAAAGCTTGGTGGTCGCTGAAACCAATAAAATATGAAGACTTTGAAAATATGAACTTCCTACATTAAAGTTAAACTTTGTTTGCTACACCTCCTTTAAGGACGACTGATGATGGCGGCAATCATTGACTAAGCCTACAGCACTGATCAGCGCCTCGTGTTATTTCTCTTCTAGTAAGCCAAGCAAAGACGACAGTGTGTCCTCTGATGTCTTGCAGATCTACATTTGAATGATGTTATCTGGTATGTAGATCAATGGATCCCACGGCATGTAACATTTTGCCGTAATCCATAGACCCCATCTTTGCAATTTGGGAACATTAGCCGCAACGCTTAGAATCAAGTGCGAAGGAGAAGGTCTCGACATTTTCAGTCTCCAAGTTCCTCACGTACATGTAGGCAGCACTTGTGCAGTTGCCTTGGACCATAAACGAGGACATCAGATGGAGCGATCTTGGGCAACCTTGATCGTCTTCCGCCACTCATCCCTGTCGTCCATCAGCACACAGAATTCAGCACCCTGCCGGATACAGTTTATGGTCCTGCTCTGCCTCCGTCCATAAACGTTTCATTTCTGACCGCTTTGCAAAAGCGCGGTTTATACAGCAATTCACTCTCTGGCTTGGAAGTGAGAGACGTTATGCCTGGAAGGATGATGGCTTGCCGGGAGTGTTGTTCACGAAGGCTGTTTAGCTCCATTTTGCTCCATTCGCTCCCATTTCGTGTATTTTATGTGCGCCGTTTAGATAACAGGTACAAAAACCACTGAGTGCTCCCAAGGAATGTCCTTGACACCACATTTGTATTCCCTATGAAACTGCAGATGGGCTCATGACATGCATGACACAACATCAAATGAGCGTACACGTTTGTACATTTGCATTTGTATGTCCCTGAAAAAAGGCACCTTAAATCTATTCCTTCACTAGATTAGGGACGTCCGCTAGGTCATAGGGGACAAGGCCATGTGCCATTTCGTGTATTTTATTTAGACCGTTTACCTAACAGGTACAAAAGCCACTGAGTGCTCCCAAGGGATGTCCTTGACACCACATTCGTATTCGCTAGGAAACTGCAAATTTGCTCATGACATGCCCAACCTCGCTGTACATTTGCATGTGTTTGTCCCCGAACTTTTTCACCTATTCCATCACTATAGTTACTACATTACGGACCTGCCCTATGCCATAGGGGACTAGGCCATGTGCCGATTATAGAAAACTACAAATGGGCTCATGACACGTCCCTAACCTCAAATGAGCGTACACGTTTGTACATTTGCATGTGTATGTCCCTGTTCCTTCACTACATTAGGCGCGTTCTCTAGGTCATAGGGGACTAGGCCATGTTCCGATTGCAACATTAATTCTGAAAAGGCACCAATAAATTCAGATGGTTTATATTTCCTACAAAGAGCCTCACACACTCCCAACCTCGAGTGAGTGTATGCTCATTTGCATATGTATCTACCATGTTTTCCCTAACATGGGCTAGATGAGACACTCTATTGAATTTAAGGGTGTAGATCTAAAAAAAGGTTCATGATGTTTCATCATTTTTGTTCAGGAGCCCGAAGTCTATAGAAAATGAAAATGTTATAAAATTGCCACAAGCTTAAAACAATTACCGGGCTGATGAAGGGGCAGAGTGCGCCTCGAAAGCTCCAAGGAGTAGCAAACTCATTTTCTTGTGAGTATTGTTGAAAAGTTTTGTCTAAAGTATTTCGAATGATGTTCTTACATCATTTTGTGTAAATCGTCGTATTCTTGAAATGCTGCTGGTAGCTGTAAGCCTGAAATGTTTGCGCTGGTTTTATTTTCACGGTTTTCGCGGTGTTCTCTGCGAATTCACGAGGCCGCGTTTTCAATGTATTATTACTGTACTACAGAACCGTTTCACCCACAAACTTAAAACCGGTGAGACATCATTATTTTACCGCAAAGTTTTGAAATCCTCGCCACAGTAAATGAGATTATAGTATCCGGATCCGGCTTGGCAGGTTTTTACGGCATGATATCGACCTTAAGAGTGCTATCTATCTTTTGTCCCTCAGGCGTGTGTCTGAATCCTGCTCATCATAATAACATTAAAGAGCTTTGAAGTGTGGATCACCCAAATGTCATGAGAGAGGTAAGGCGCTTATGTAAAATAACTTGTCTTTTCATCATAATTACATGGAAAACCTATGACGTGTGCATCATCAAAATCAAATGTCACGAGAAAGTTGTGTAGGTTACACGTGTTTTGATCAAAGATGCGCATACTTTTCTGGAGTTAACGCACTTATGTAAAACAACTTGTCTTCCCCTCATGGAAGACATGTGACGTCGGCATCATCAAAATCAAATGTCACCAGAAAGTTATTGAGGTTACACGTGTTTGGGTGGAAAATGTGCATACTTTTCTGGAGTTAACGCGCTCTCAACAAAACAACTTGTCTTCTCATAATTACATTGAAGATCTATGACGTGTGCATCACCCAAATGTCATGAGAAATTATGTAGGTTACAGGTGTTTTGATCATTAATGCGTAAATTATGTAAAACAACTCGTCTTTTCAACACGATAACATGGAATTCCTATGACGTGTGCATCGTCAAAATGTCATCATTAAGTTACGCCCAGGTGTTTTGATCGAAGACGTATATTTTTAGTTAGACTAAGTGTTGAGTTCTAATATTCCCATTAATAAAATGACTTTTCTGCGCATCCAAATGTCAATAAAAGGATGTTTTGATACTGCGATTTTCCTACACTATTTTGGGGAAGATTTGCATCAACTGCAGACGTTACTTTAAATTTCAAATGCAAGAGCCCCGTCTATGTTGCATTTGGCATTTCTTTGACATTTGTCACCCACTTCCAGATGATATCACTATGGATAAGACTTAACGTAGCAGGATGTCACCTTTAACTTTACCTTTACTTGCATGGGCCCTCATGATCATCTTGAGGGTGAGGGACTTTGGTCAAACTGACTGCTAAAGATGATATTCAGGCTCAGAAGTAGTCACTGAAGAGTTTGCTGTGTGGTATAAGCTCAAACTGGAGGCGGAGGTTTAAGGAGTGCCACACCTCGGGCACATTCAAGATCCCACCTCACTTATCGTAAAGAATAACTTTAGGGGTATTTTTCGGTGTGAGTGGATCAAACCTTACAGTCCGGTTGTACACAGCCTGTAGATTACTGTGCAAAACTGGTGCCAGTGTTACGCCTGTTTACAAAACTGGTGCGTTACGCCTGTTTACAAAACTGGTGAGTTACGCCTGTTTACCGGTTATTGGACCGATGCATGAGTGTATTTAATCAGAATGATATGCCGCAGAGCCTTTCTCTTACACCATATTTATAACGGCATGACTTGTCACGACACTTGTTGTTGCGGTCATAATTACACCGTCCAAGCGTCACAGTTCCGCTAAGCAACATGAAAAGCCAATTAAATCTTTCAAGACGGTTTCATCGTCGCTGCAAAACAACAGATTAACATGTTTTCCAGAAGTCTTGTATTCCATATATGATCAATTTGCTCAACCAGCATGCCGGACTTGGCATGGAATCTGCACTGTAAATATATTGTACCAGTCTGTCTTTTGTAGCTTTGTCTGACATGAAATCTTAACTTGCATTGTTTGTAAATATCTATAGCCACCTATATTATACAACTGCGTCTATTCTAAAACGACAATATTTTAGCCACTGCAACTGTTCTGTTTTTATCTAATTGAGATTTTTTGCACATGTAAATTCGATTTTAATTCAGTGTCATTCACACTGCGATAGCGAATAAAGTCATGATCTTGCATCTTTTCCGTATGACCGGTCAGTGATGTAACGACAGCATAGCAACAAGGATAAACCTCGGATTTCATCCACATCTGTCCAGCACCGCGCCTTCCGGAGTAATCCTTTGGGAATTGCAACAGTTTGAAAGATTGCCCCAGAATGTACTGCCCTCGTCACACTCGGGTGAAATTGCCGCCAGGTCTTTATTCACAACGACTTGTTTAACGAGAGCCGACGTTTTGATGTCGGTCATCGTCATCAGGGAAATTACGACTGGTTTGTATGAATTGCCCTAAAGACAGACCATCATCGAAACACCAGCTCTTCTTAAACAAGTGATTCTGAATAACGAACTTTGCTATTCAATCGTAGTGGATACTACTTGAAATGTCTGACTGGTTTCAAAATCGATCCAGCTGCTTATGTAATATGTCTTGTGCATGTGTTAAGTAATTTTGTAACAGTGCGTAGGTGCAAAGCGTGTGTATGTTTACGTATAACTTTACTGCCCTAATGTTACCCTACAGTCACTTGCTGTACACAGGCATGCTACACACGGTTATGTAATCTAGGAATTTACCATACGTGATCATTAACATTAATAGATAGAGGATACCGGGAATTCCGTGCTCGCACACGACCAGTTCGCATGGTTACTATACATGATGATGCATAGCAGCGTTCGACTTTGTGCTCAAATTTAGAACTAACGATTTAATGCAATGCAAAGAGTAGAACCGGGGTGTCCAGTCGACTAGTCATATCTTAAGAACGAACAGACAAAACGAACAGGATTTATTATAAAAGACGTCCATATGAAAGGGTAAAAATGCTTCCTAACTTTCAATACATTTCTTAGATCATTGTTATATTGTATGGCAGTGTCATTGGTCGTCATTCACAATAATGAATAAAACTAGAAATATCCCCAGTACTTACAATATTTCATTGTGGTATTAGATCTTCACTGAGGTATGTCTGTATGTGTACATTTTCAAATTCTCCCTCTTTCTCTCCCTTTCTCTCCCTCTTTCTTTCTCTTTTTTTCTTTCTCTGTCTCTTTACATGCATAGAACAGATAAGTAGATAGGCAGATAAATAGGAAGGTCGATAGATAGATATTTAGGTTATGTTTCCCCAACCCTTTAAGATCTATTGATAAGTGAGTAGGCGTAAGTCGGATGGTATCTTACCGGTCCAGATGCAGGTGTTTGCCCAGACGGCGACCCGGGTGGTGCGGAGTTTGCGGGACTCCAGCGGGTACACGATGGCCAGGTACCGGTCCACGCTCAGGGCAGTCAGGGTCAGGCACGTGGCCTGCACGGTAGCCTGCCAACAAAACATTAAAGTTAGTTTATGTTAAATTCCTTTTCGCGACCCATCTACGTTTCGTTGCTCTTGGGCCACACACTACAGCATGGGGCCAGTCCACTGGTAGTGGTGTGTGTTTAACTCCCATACTCTTTCCCAAATGCAAAAGTAGTATGTACCAAGTTTTTGGATGCAAGGCGAGTACTCTACCCTCATTGCACCGGTACATGCAGCGTATATGTAACAAAACGAACATGTACGTATTGATTAGTCAGAGGGAAAGGAAAGTAATCTCAATCCAATTTTAGCTCGCTGAAAAGAGTTAATCTCCCACTGGTCGTGACAGAGAAGACGCCATATACATATATTTTACAGGTTCATTGTACCGGGGAAATTCCCCTAGCTCTTTTCGACAAGTACAATGAACAGTGGACCACAATTTAACGTCCCCGTCCTAAGGACTGCGACCCTTTACAGTATAGTAGCGTACATGTCGGGTGATCGGCGACAGCCGGGATTCGAACTCCCAACCTGTTGGTCCAGAGGCAGGATCACTAACCACTGAACCAGATTTTTCCACAACTTTAACAATTTAGTACAATAACTTGAAAACACAACTTTATCACTGAATAGATCTTATAAATTAAAGGAAACAGGACCTTTTAACCTGCAATGTGCAACACGTGCAAATTTACAAAGAAGTCACCCGCCCAATTACATCGCCGTTACACGCTAATGGTAGCAAAAGGTCATCGCACATTATATAAAACATAGACGCCAGTTGGGTAAAGTACACATTATAATCTATTAAAAAAAACAATTACAGGGTATTGAAGTGTTTCATGATTGCAGGGATGGGGATATTAAGTTAACGTGTGGTCCCAATGGGTAGCGTGTATTGACGACCGTGCCGCAGTAACATGCTGAGTTGCCGATTTCGTGTCGGATGTGGCCAGGATGCAAACCTCGGCGATCTGCACACTGTAAGTAGCCTCCTCTACCAGGCTTCGGAAAGCGGCTGGAAAGGGTATAAAACCGGCCAAATAGAGAGATATCATGCCAGGGGAGTTGGTCCGCTGGAGAGTGCAGTTTGCCGCTCCCGGGTGCGGCAAAATGTACTCTCCAGCGGTCCCACTCCCTCGGCATGTTATCTCTCTATTTGATCGATCTCTACTCTCTCCAGCCGTCTCCCGAAGCCTGGTAGAGGCTACACTGTAAGGGCAAAGTCACTGCACGTTTTCCGTCTGCGTTCCGAAAGGCGTCAGTTCTGGCTTAGACATATCCAACTGGTATTACAAGTTGTCCCACTCTGTCTTATCGAATTCTCAACGGGGAGAACAATGATGTGTTTGATGATTAATATTGACTTTCTTCAGGACCCTCGTGTGATAAGATCTAACATTTCACATAATCGGTATTTCCCATGGGGTGTTTCTAATAACGTAAGCTTTATTGCCGCTCATAAGATTTTTTTTCTGTGAACTTAAATCTAGATTGCCAGGTTTGTATGCCAAAGTTTTAAAGTGGCAAAGAAGTTTTGTGATTAAGGTTGTCGATCTAAAGTTTCTGAGTTTGAATCCCTGGCATGCCTTTATGTTGTGACATTGGGAAAGGCATTTCCACTGATCTACTCACTGGATTAACTTAGAAGGTAATAATGAGAACTGGTGCCAAGCATCGCGTAGGGGCGTCCAATCGGGGGAGGCATAACGCCGGAGGTCCCGGGGTTGAAGGGAGCAGAGGAGTCAAAACATGTCTTGTAACTTACTGTACAGAACTGGTGGTTTACCGGTTAAACGAACAAACAAATAAATAAATAAACAAAGTTGTGCACGTCATAGCCGGAGTCCGATTAAGGTTGCGGGCCTTGCGGCCGAAGCCCGCACAAAGGAAAGTTTCCCAGATGTTGGCTTGCTTGTGTCAGTGTACAGTGAGGACCATAATCTATAACCCAAGACCTCACGCCTGACTCCACGTGACTTCTGACCCCATCACTGTACACGTATAGACGGCACCAATGTATCAAGCCCCTCAAAGTGTCCGTTATAATTAAGTCCCACGGATCCCATTAATCAAATGGATTCTGAGGCCCTTTGGCACATCTCTGTGGAGAGAGAGTGGAAACCAAGCCAACAGGGAAAGCTAACGTCACAGTCTTATTGTTACACGATTTCCCCTAGACTGAAGTTACGTAAGGTACAATAATGGATCATACCTAAGAGCCCGTAGATACAGAACACGCCATCGTTTCAGTGTTCAACATCATTTTTATTTCGCACAGAGCAATACATATTTAAAATCCGATGAAGAGGTCACCCCTTAATCAGATTAACAGAAATCTAAGGCGCAAGGATACAAAATGAAGTGTTGTGCATCAGTCATCCACAGTTCACTTATATACATGTCTACTACATGTACTATGGCGCTTAAATGTACGTGAAAGTTATCGGCTGGAAAACAGCCCAGACGGGGATTTCCACACACGGGTGTTCATTGCGTAAAATATTGCGTAAGATGCACAGAGAGCAGTCTTCTAGTCTGCGTCATTTAATCCCATTTCGTATCTGTGTCAATCCGCATTACCACACGTTTCAGGCAATGACGATGGAAGTTAGCTGTTGAACAAACTCGCGGGCCTGAAGCTGACTGAACTACCAACTCATTATAGAAGGTGCAAGTCCGCACTACGCTATACACAAGTACAGTTAAAAACTTTGAAAATGTTATCACAACAGCTAAGAATCCACTCATTGTTATTCGTTCCTCCGTGAAAGTCCTCACATGTACGTCACACTAAGTTCATGTGAACAATAGCTAAAAAAAAGGCCAAGATGAATTAACCAATTATAAAGGCTTCAATGACAAGCGTAAGTGGTGTTAGGGGACGTAATAGCTTAATGAGCGAACATGCCATGGTATGTACTTGTGTACCTGTCAGCCCATTGAAGGCTGGTACTTTCTCCCATTGCCAGTGGTTTGTAGAAACACGCATGGGGGACTCATCTGTCACGAAGTAGCCCATAAGATTAAAGTAGCTTTGAAACGCATCTGAATCAGTCAGCCAATTGAAGTTTAGCAGTTTCTCATGTTTCTAGTGGCGTGTAGAAACACACATGGGGGCCATCTGTCACGGAGTAGCCCATAAGATTAAAGTAGCTTTAAAACTTGTGCATCTGAATCAGTCAGCCAACTGAGGTTTGGCAGTTACGTTTCTATTGGCATGTAGAAACACGCATGGGCACATCTGTCATGAAATGGCCCAGATTCAGGTAGCCTGTACATCTGTCATCAGATTGAAGTTTGTACTTCCTCACGTTGCCAGTGGCTTGTGCCCTTGGGAAAGGCACTTTACACGACTTTCCTCACTTCACTCAAGTGAAAATGAGTATTGTATTGTCTCCTGTGTTGGTGGCGGCATTGATATAAGTTGAAAAAAACTTGAGTGTGTCGTCACCACGTCTTGTGATTAGATGTTGGAAAAAACACGCATGGGGGGATCTGTCACAGCCTGGTCCTTGAGATTAACTTGTACATCAGTCAGACCTTTAATGTTTAGCACTTCCTCACATTGCCAATAAATAAGATTAAAGCATATTTAGAAAGTAGGCCAGACGTTCATTCACCGGGCACACAAAGGGCAAGGACATACACGGACGTGTAGACTGTGTGATATAGCTAGCTGCCGCCGCGCCGCGTGCCTGCGAAGCTGGTGTGTTACGCCGAAGGGCGGTTATACCGGCTATACTGATTCAGCTACAGATACAGACGTGGTCTATACCTTATAAGGAACCATCGTCAGAAACTGCCCTGGACACAAACAACCGGAGGCTCTACATGTAGCAAACAGCAGGACACAGGATGTGATTACGTGTGATAACCGGCAGAACACAAGAAATGGTAAATTATGTAAAAAATGAAATAAGCATCACGCGGTGAACATCTTACGATACAGGAAGCACGGTTTTACTACATCAGATACTGTAAATTCACCGCTGGGATCTAATTTCCTGGTGGGAATAGAAATGAAGTTTTCCTGTGCTGTGTATTATTCATGTCAGAGACCTAGGTATGTTGGTTTGTTTGTGAACACGATAACTCAGGATGCCGTGGATGGGCGTGATAACATTTTGTAGGTTGGTAGGATAAAGGAAAAAAGAAGGTCATTTGTCCAAATATATAATGGAAGGGCATGTCCTTGGTAGTGAGGAACCTGCTGGGAGACACAGAATTGGAAGATCTCATATATCTCGAAATTATTGACAAGGATCGAAAGAGACATCGGTCTCACAGGGTCTGCTCTGGTGTCCACCGTGAAGGACAAGAAATACTGGGATGACTTTATCTAATGTACCTCACCGGACTTGTTCCGGGTGTACGATGATGATGATATATTTATTTTTACATGTAAAGGTTCCCACAACGCAAAAATAGGTATAAAGGATAAAGCATAAAGGAATGCTTTGCTATTAGAAAAAATACCGAAACCTGTGATTAGCCCATTGGATTTTAACACTTTGTCAAAGACTTGTGCTATACCTTATTGTTTGAGTAATTAAGATATGTTAGGTTTTATTCGACACTAGGTCTTATTCAACACATTTATTTTATTGTTTGTTAGACTTTCTTTATGTAGTTTGCCATACATTGTAATTGTCATGCAATAACTTTAGTTCTTCTATAAATGAAAAACGTTACACGCCGTACCTGCATGAAGTAGAAGACGACCTTGCACATGATGGTGCCGAATCGCCATGTTGCGGTGCTGAAGACGGCTGCGGTGAAGGGAACACAGCACAGCAGGAAGGCCAGGTCCGTCACCGACAGGTTCAGCACGTAGTGGTTCGTCACCGTCCGCATACGCCCGAACTTCACCACTAAGGGCGGAACACACCAAGGTTTAGTGTATATATGTATGTAACATCATCATTAAGCATTAATTTAGTTATACAATATATGTGTCTGTTGGATGCATTTGTTAACCGTGGTGCCCGTGGTGCCAGCTATTGGTGCCTGGGTAGCCCAATGTATTTCGATGTTGCAATTCCACTGAAGTACTATGGACAGTGTCGCTGACGACTGAATTAGTACCACAGAAACCTACAACTGAAGGCTGTGTCAGTACCCATGGAAAGTACCGCTGACGAATGAATTAGTATTACAGACACTTAACCACGGAAAGTGTCATTTGCGTCTGAATTACTATTACATGAAGTTACCACTGGATGCTGTATCAGTACCATGGACATCTGTACTGGCGGCAAAATTAGTACCACAGAAACCTACCACTGAATTCGAGGCTGTATCAGTACTGAAGGATGAATTAGTACCACAGAAACCACTGTATCAGTGGCGGTTGAATTGGTACCACGGAACCTTACCACTGAAGGCAATACCAGTACCATGGAATGTACCATTGTAGCCTAAATGGCTGTATCTGTACCATGGAAAATGCCCATAAAGCCGGTCTTCGTACGCCCTGTAGGTACAATGCAATATTACTGCTTATATAACTTGTATCATTGTATTACCTTGGGTAAATGTAAAAAAAAACCTTATCAGGTTAACCACAGAACTGGTCGTTAATGTAGGCAGGCTCTGGAAGCCCCGCTAAACGCCTTTCATCTCTCCAATCTTTCATCTTTCATCTTTCCTCCGCCAATCTGAAAATCTGATTGGAGCCAACACGCTGTCCCCTCCCGCAGTGAACGTTTACGTGTGAAACCTGGCACGGATTGACGCGACCTTTAGCGATTCACGCGACAACAAAACGATCCCTTCTGACATTTTGAACCAAGGCCCTTATATGGATATACAACTTTCCTGGTAAAACGTCCTGGGGTGTCTCATCACCAGCGACAGCCGTGGGGGCACGGTTTGACATGACATGGTGCGTCAATGGAATGCTGTGCCAGTGAATAAGAATGGGCGAGTGGTTAAGGCTGGTGGACACGAGATGGAGAGGTCACCTGTTCGACTCCTTGCATTCCTGGCTCAACTTTACTTGCCTTTCCTCACTCCACCTAGGTGTCATATGGGTACCTGACTTTGCCGTATATCCAGACATATACGGCGCCGAAATATGCCGGATCTGTGATGCACCATGGAATCCGAAAGCAACTTATTTGGCAACTTTTTCGTAAGGTCTTATATATTTTTAAATTCGAATCTCGCAGGGGCACTTAACGTAGATTTTAGTACGTCCTAGTAGAATATTCACAGAATGATATTAGCTATCTTCAGTGAGCTACACTTTCTTTCACTTTTATTCCGGTGAGATGTCTCGAGCCGCGAAAGGCGCGAGAAAAAGCACCAGACGCGTCAGCCGTCTGTCTGACTCCATCAGGCGTCTGTCTGACTTCCGCTTACCCGTTGGAGGGCAGTAAAGAGGTCCTGGGAACGTATTCAACTATCCTTAAGTAACGTCAATGTCAGACACCTGCCCAAAACTACTTGGTAAAAATCGACTTAAGTGCCGGAGACAGGTTCTAACGCAATCCGCGGGAAGAATAAGCATGAGTGGCGGCTGAACACAGACGTCACTCTCCAGGATGTTCTATTCTCGGCAGTCGGCCCTGTTGTAACCAGATTGTCACAATACGGAAAACATGAATGGGTGTTGAGAGAAAGTGTGAAGCCCGTAAAACTCGTAATGCTCATGCATAGAGCACATCGCCACCCCACGGATGCCCGACGTGCGGACGAGAATTCCGGACAAAATCATCCACCACAGGACCTCCACTTGGCTCCGACATGTAACTAGGTTCTTAGAGGCGCTCATAGTACGGGAACCGTGAAAACTGCTGGTGCTAAGAGATGTAGAAAGCGTGAAATCCGTATATCACTATTCATGTGTAGATCACATAACCGACCCACGTATGTCCAACCTGCGGACGTGACTTCCGAACAATATCATTCACCAGTGGATCCATTACATTAGCAGCGGCAGTAAACTCATACCGCCATAGCGACCGGATGCTTTGGTCTTTTTATAACTCTACATTTCGACATCAGTGACCGCAATTTCTTTAATGCTGGTTGAAAGAAATCGTGGTCACTACTAGAGAAAAATGAAACCAACGAAAAGACGTAAAAACAGCAAAATAACGACCGAAACCTCTGCCAGGAGATATGAGAATCCGATGCTTCTCGAAAACTATAGGCGAACAAGACATGCCAGCCAGCTGCTGCCGCGCCGCGTGCCTGCGAAGCCGGTGTGACAGTGTTAACGTTGCGCCAAATGGCGGTTACACCGGCTATACAGATACAGATACAGATAAAGATGCAATGCACGAAAAACAGGATTCAACAACGGCTGTAAATGCTACGTACGTCCGGTAATATCTGCTTTGGCATATGGTGGAGTTTTAGCAAAAGTCATTAGACTTAACCTGGAATTTATCACCATATTAGTTCAGACGTCATATATACCGTAACTTAGCATTTGGCTTTTGGTAAAATCCTGCAGCTGATACAAAATTAAGTTGGGATTTATCGTAAGCTGAGATTGACCTACACTGCCGCCGCGCCTAGCGCCTAAGGCATCCATCGCCATATGTTACTGTTGGTACTTCTGCTATTCATTACTGGCCCTGTGTTATCATGAATGTTTTACTTACATTATCTCTGTGTCTCATAATGTCCATCCCGTGTTTATGCCATTGATTGTATCCGTGTCAGTGGTGCCGCTAACATAAGCTTTAAGATTGAGCAAGGCACCACTGTCTTGTCGTTGTTTTTCGCATTGGTCATTAAAAAATCACCAGACTTATCTGGCGCTTGTCGTCTTTAGTAAATACCACTTTTCATGCAGTAACCACCTGTGAATCCATCGCCATTGAAAACCCCTGCTGACAGTACATACACCGCACACCCTGCCGTTGCCATTGATTTGACATCCAGCCCAACGACGTGTAAAATACGGTTGCAGACATGATTGTTATCTTAGAAATCACACAGCAATTTTCAGGTCCGGCAGTTTTACTTTGGAGGCTGCGGAAACAGTTTACCGACCTCTAGCTATGATTTTGATGCAGCTCGAAAATCAAAGGGCAAAAATAGAACGTGTCTCTATTATAACATTGTAATCATTAATTCCAATATCAGGCTCTGATATTGGTTAGCTTTAAAGGGAACCGTATTGAATTGACTTACAATTGAATGCCTGTACGTGGTGTCAAAGATTTGTGTTTGATACTGGCAACAATTTCGTAGGTAAAAAAACGTCCTCACCAATCAAAGTCTGAGCGGCCAACTGTGTCCAACTCAACGATAGACATGTCCAGATCAACATCTCCGCACAAACCGAAGAAGAACATGTACCGACTGATATAGATGGACACGGGTAGGCCATGGACAGATGGACACAATATCACAAGCCACAAAATCGATCAAACTTACTCCTCTCCAACAAAATATGTTGCAGCCAACTGTGTTGAACCCATTAATAAATAAGCCTCTACACCGACCGAAGAAGAACATGCACATGAAGCGTAACCCAGCGAAATAGATGGACATAGGTAAGCTTAAACGTACTCCTCTTCAACAAATTCTGTGCCAGTCAACGGTGCCCAACCCATTGAATAGCGTGCCCATCTCACAACCCCTACACAGACAGTAGAAGAACATGAATCGTAACCCACCAATATAGATGGACACAGATGGGCACAATATCGCTTAAAATTACTCCTGTCCATCAAATTCTGTGGCAGCTACCTGTGACCCCATCCCATCCCATTGACAAGCATGCCCATCTTGCCTCTTTTACCCAGACCGTAGAAGAAAGAACATGTAACGTTACTCACCGATATAGATGGACACGCAGTTGCCCAGCACGCCGGTGAAGAGAATGATCCCGAAGACGACAGGTACAACGATACCCTCTGGTCCGACGGGCGGAGAACCCGCTTCTATCGGGAAGGTCCCGTTCCCCTCCGTCCCGTTCCCACCCTCCATGGTCGCCGCTGCTTTTCCTCGAGCTCCGGCAGTCTGTAGGGTTAGGACCGGCGGCCAGCGCGCGTAAGGCTCTTCTGTCTGCTCTGCGTTCAGACCGCTAGCTTCGCCTGTACTCGTGATGACGCCCCAGTAGGCACCGCCTACCTTACGTGCGTACGTAACGTCATGCTCCTTCGAGGAACCGAAGTGGTTATTCCTGTAAGTACCCGCTTGACTATTCAGATGTACGTCTTCAGCTTGACAAGTCTGCTCCTGGCTAAACGAGCTACTCTGTAACACTGATGACGAGCTCGATGGTGAAGTGCAACAGGAAAAGTGTCAAAATTAATCGAGTGAAAAGGACCTTTGCCAAAAGGTCGGAAGGTGCAGCCAGCTGTTGCTTTATAAATGGGCGTGTGGAAGTGATGCTTGCAAGCCCCTGGCAAGGTATACATGGGGGCGAGGCAGATTAACGTTCAGTCGATCGTCAGATTGATTGAAAATTCATTCTTAATTCAATGAGCTTGACCTAATGGTATAAATATCTGATCAGTCAGTCTCATCTCGTACTCAATGGCCTGGTTAGATACGTCTTTAGTCATTCTCACTCCGGGCACATTGTGCCATCGTTTGTCGTCTTCAGACTTACCAGAGTCACGCTGCCAAAGAGCTTCAGCAGAATTCGTTGATCGCCAGAAAGTCACCGGAGTTCGAAATCTCTAGACAGTCGAGCGTATTTTCCGTCCTATGAAAATCTGTCCAAGGATTGCACGAGGCTCGGTGACCTGCAAACATCGGCCGGCCTTTACGAATTGCGCAGAAATCCCGATCGCCAGAGGACACCGGTCGCATTGCTGCCAAAAATGTTCTCTTGAGCCGGCATTCTCATCGAGCGAGCTGTATGTGTTCCTGCTGGTTTTATGGGGGACTCCTGCAGGTAAGACGTAACACTTGCACAAATTATCGTGTTTTTCCGTCCCAAAATGACGAACCCTTCAACATTTGTCAATGTCCAGAATCTCTCAAGTTTTTAAGTAGGTCAAGACTTATCGAATTCCTATCTCGATCAATGTCCTTGTGGTGATGAACCATTTCTAAGTCGTTAAAAAAAGAGTCAAATGGATGTTACACACGAGATGCGCCTCGGCGCCTCCCGGGAACAAAGCACACTAATGAATAGCCAGACCAGGATCTGCCATTAGCTTCGGAGAAAATCAGGTCAGGAAGCCTGATGAAGCTCGCCGCTCGCGCCATCGGACTTCCTGATGTAAGTGCACCTACGCTGCGAGCTTACAAAGGGCAAAGTCTAGGGAGGCCAAAAGTATCATCCTTGGATGATCTAAGAGCTTACAACAAGCTGTTAGCAATGCGGGGAAGCTCTTGCGGATCATAGAGTACAAAGTGTGATCCTTTCGAGATAGGATCGAGTGGGAGCTCGACTGAAGTAAGTAAGTATGTGATGATCGATCCGATGTTGACCTTCTTTCATCTCATGTAAATTATGCCGGGAGCTGGTCACTTTACAGCGCCACAGCCGCCTACACCTTTCGATCTTTTTTTTCTTTTTTACTCATGGCCGTTTCCATATAGAGCTCCATCGATATTAGAGTAACTTTTTAGCCTAACCAGAGAAGTTGAAGTGCATCCGGTACCGTATAAACTGATTTGTTTTAGCGGATACTCAGGAATAACCACTCTTGGCAAGCGTATGATGTAGGCTGAGGTGAGCTGGGGACAGTGCCTCACTGTCTGGCGTTATCATCATCATCTAACGTTCGAGCCTTTTTCAAGGCCGACAGAAGAAAGTTTGGCAGAACAACATGACGGAGTGGACGTCCCTCACCATCCCACAACTCCTGACTCCTGATGAGTCTGGCATCATCTCTGCAACGTCTCCTTGTCTCCCCGACGACCAGGGTCGGTCATGGGACTAGGCAGGTAGGTAGGCAGATCGCAAAGTGCTTACTCGTACACTAGTCATTACATACCTTTTCCATATATGGAAGGACACAAAGTCGACAAACTGAGGGCCGAGGAAGGGCGGTTGAGTAATAATAAGAACTATTTTTCTACACAGCCGTCAACCAGTAACCGCTTTGACAAACTAGATGTACTTCAACAGTTTGTCCTTTTAGGCTAAAAGAGGCACTGTCAGACCGCTTGATTGCTTTGAGATAACGTTGATAGGTTTCAGACCTCCCTTATGAGAGATATTCGGTCTCTCTCTATGTATACATTCATGTGTGTACCAAGAGCAACTAAAGCTGGTGCTGGGACGTCGTAATCGCGTTATCTTCCATTAAAATGCATTGGCTAGAGCTCAAGGTAGTTATGAAACCAATTCAACGGTCTTAAAGGATACATGTAAAAGATGGGGGTTATGTAGTAGTACTTCATACGCAGCAGGGTTTAGGTTTTGACGTCAGGTGATTCAAACAAACTAGGTTTACATATAAGATTAGGTCACCAAAGGTCAGAAAGAATCTGTTGTTGGAGGTTGTCCGCAGGTAACCCCGCGCACACAGACAGAGCTGGAGTCCAAAGGGCGGAGCCAGAGAAGAGTGCGCTTGAAGGCATCCTATTTCGGGGTGGTATAACTGTATTTTCAAAGTCTATTTTCTGGCCATTCTTTCATGTAGTAAGTTAAATTAACCATATCCCTTGGCAAACTGGTATCTGTGAGGCAAGAATGTGATGTCACTGACAGAAAACGGTACGGTTGCTAGTTTCGTATCTTAGGCTGGTTCTAGCTAGTAATTGGTGGTACCTAAAATAAAAGGACTCCTGACGTGGCTTATTTTGGGGCTATTTCTAGCGCTTCAGGATTGAAATGATGACGGCAATGTGCTGATAAATGTCAGTAAATGCCAACATCAGGCAGATTTCCTCATCCAGAATATTTTCTATTTTTGTTTTACCGCTTTGTAATTGCACTGGATGCCTTTAATCCTCGTTCGTCAATCATCTAGGTGCAGTTTTGAAGGGAAATCACTGGAATACCACAGTTCGTACTGCTCTATGGTTGTATTGGTGCTGTCCCTGGTGCTGAAAACATGGTTAAGGTGTAGTTAGCAATGGAAATCTCTGGATTAGTATAGTTTGTTAGGTTCTGTGGTTGTTGTGAATCAGCTATGGACCTAACACTATTTGCTGTACCTGTGCCTTCGCATATCTATGTAGACGTATATATAGCGATATATAGCGATTGCGATCTACCGGGGTCTCCATCTACAGAGATCGGTATCAGGACACAGGAAACGTGTTAAGCTGCAGCTGGTCTTCAATATATACATTCTGACTGAGCTTCAAGTCGATCCATTGGATTTTCAAAATCGATTTTCTGGTCATTCTTCTATGTACTAACTTTTATGTAGTGACTTGAATGATGATATGGGATGCCATAGCAAACTGGTATCTGTGAGGCAAAAACACGATGTCAGTGACAGAAAACGGTTGCTAGTTTCGTATCAGGGTAGATGTCGGGGTAGAGATTTCGATCTATCGGAGTCTCCATCTACAGAGATGTCTATCAGGACACAGGGAACATGTTAGGGTCTCCCGTTTATATACATAATGAGTTTCTGGTCGATCCTTTGATCGATCCAAAGTGACATGAACAAGCTTAAGTTGAAAAGTTCTGATTGTCTTTTAAACGAAAAACGTGCAGACTCCGATCGGGATCTCTACCGACGGATTCGGCGATAACGTCTGTCCTGACATGTGTAAATACGTAATGTTCTCTCTCTCTCTCTCTCTCTCTCTATATATATATATATATATATA